ACAATGACTGGCTAATTCCATACGATCAGTCCGTCTATGGCCCTCCCCGTGGACTGTTGCCGCTGATGGCCGTGGAGCAGGGCAGTAAGTGCAAGGTGCGACCCTGTCTGGACTACCGTCAGTTGAACAGCCACGTACCTGAGCACACAGCAGAGGCCGACGTCTGCAAAGACACGCTGCGGAGGTGGCGCCGCCACGGTAAGAATCTCGCCGTGGTGGATTTGAAGCAAGCTTACCTGCAGATTCGCACAGACCAGCGCCTCTGGCCATTTCAGACCGTGATTGTCGGCGGACGGCGTTATGCGTTGACGAGGGTCGGGTTCGGATTGAACGTGGCCCCGCTGATGATGAAGAAGGTGGTGCAAGCGGTCCTCAGCCAAGACGCCGATTCGGAGCGCGCCACAATACCGTATGTGGACGACCTGTGTGTCGATGAGGACATTGTTACGGCCGATCGTGTAGTGGAGCACTTCTCTAAGTACGGCCTGGAGTGCAAGCCTCCAGAGAGAGTCCAGGACGGAGCACGGCTGCTGGGCCTGCGGGTTGGAGTCGCAGGAGACGGTGATCTCCACTGGACTCGGGATAATGCAGTCGGTGCCCCTCCTGACGTCATAACACGCCGCGCTGTGTTCTCCTGGTGCGGACGTCTGGTGGCGCACATGCCAGTGTGCGGCTGGCTGAGGCCTGGCTGAAACGTCGAGTCAATGCTGTGACTCACCACTGGGACGACGTTACCGACGATCCAGAGCTGCGCGAGCAGATGATGTACATGGCTGAGCGGATGGTGAAGGATGATCCAGCGCGAGGTCACTGGCACGTCAGTGGAGACAGTGCTGTCGTGTGGACGGACGCCTCCTCTGTGGCGGCGGGAATCGCTCTGGAGACGCAAGATGGAAACATCATCGAAGACGGATGCTGGCTTCGAAAGGATGAGACGACTCACATAAATATGGCAGAGCTCGATGCCGCCCTGCGAGGCCTCAATCTAGCTATCGCCTGGGGCATGCGAGTCATCGAGCTGAAAACGGACTCGGCCACTGTTCATCGCTGGCTCGACGATGCATTAAGTAGCCGAGCACGTCTCCGCACTAAGGCCCACGGGGAAATGTTGATACGGCGCCGAGTCGACATAGTCAAGCAGTTGGTGGCCGAATTCAACCTGCATCTGACAGTGACTCTGGTGAAGTCGGCGGACAACAAAGCGGACTGCCTCAGCCGGGTTCCCGCTCAGTGGCTGCGCGGTCCACTGAACGGAGAGTCCGCTGGGACATGTGGTGCTGCGGTGAATGCTGAGTGCACCAGCGGTGATGAAGATAGCTCCAGCACGAGCGGTGATGGCGGCGATGGCGTCGGGGCAGATGGGACCGAGGACGAAGAAAGAGGACGGCGAGCAGCGGTTCGCGAGGTGCACACCCGCGCAGGCCATCCTGGAGTGCAGAGAACGCTGTTCTTCGCTCGGCGCGAGATTTCTCCGAACATTACGAGGAGAGAGGCGCGTGCTGTCGTGTCCCACTGTGACGCATGCAGGTCTATCGACCCAGCACCAGTTAAGTGGAAGCCTGGGAAGCTGGAGGTGAACGAGTCCTGGACTAGGCTGGCGATTGACGTCACGCACCACCAGCGCAGTCTGTACCTGTCGGTGGTCGACTGCGGTCCTTCGAGGTTCAGTTTGTGGAGATTGCTTCGAAGGGCAGATTCAGCGCACGTCATTGAAGAGCTGCATCGAATTTTCAATGAACGTGGAGCTCCAGAAGAGATCCTGGCGGATAATGATACCGCCTTTCGCAGTCGGGCGTTTGCAGTGTTCGCGGCAAAGTGGATAATTCGGCTGAGGTTCCGCGCCGTCTACCACCCAAGTGGAAATGGTGTGGTAAAGAGGAATCATCGGACCGTGAAGGTCATAGCCGCAAGAACAGGGTGCACCGTTGGCGATGCCGTGCATCTTTACAACGTAACACCTCAGGACGGACAGAGCTCGGCTACGACACCAGCCGGACAGATCTACCGGTACTCGGTCAGGGACAGCGTGAGGACAGACACTGGCACTGGTGGTGATCCAGCGGACGGCAGCGGTCCGGAGGGCAGGGACAGCACCTACACTGTCGGGGACGCCGTGTGGGTCCGACAGCCTGGATCACGCTGTGGTGATAGGTCGCAGCCGGGTGTTGTTACCAGGGTGCCGTCACTTCATATTGTAGAAGTGGACGGGACCCCATGGCACGTTGGTGATGTTCGGCACCGCAGTGAGAGTGACCCTTGAAGGTCAGGGGGTGGTGTTTGATGTGGGATGGTTCGGCACCGCAGTGAGAGTGACCCTTGAGGGTCAGGGGGTGGTGTTTGATGGTGCCTCACTCTATTTGTATTTTATGTAATTGCCGGAACGCATAGTAATTTTCACTCGCGCAAAAACACGCGGATGGAAAATTTGACGTGCAGATTTGAGGAGGAAAATAGACAGTCGGTTTTTGGAGGAAGTTAACCGTCTTTTATATTCTATTTATTTTTTATATTACATGTATCAAGAAAATACCCAATAGTAGATGATCCCCTTGCAGATATCATTCATTAGCTGTAATTTAGCACCAAATCGTTGCAGACTGCAAAAGATATGAGCATAACTGGCTGTAGGATCTTATGTAACTGAATCCGTTGTAACCCCGCGTCCCTCATTTTGAGACGACCTTTCGGCGTTTGTTGCCAGCCGCATTGCCTTACTAATTACGAGCTTTGCGATTGTTGGCTCTGGTAACCGCTGATAACCTTACAATTACCCATTAAATCAGCTCTTGTGGTGCGGCTGCTAACAGAAACGATTCCCACTTGGTATAATTACCACATTGCACCGCCCGGCACACACTTGACGACTAAAAACAACAAAAATAGCTGAAGTAGATTCAGTTAGGTTAGTTTAACTCATCGGTGAAACATAAGATAGACCAGGCAAGAACAGGGACTGTAACCCGGAAAAGACAAATAAGACTGCACAGCAGTTTAACTTATAAATAGCCCATCAAGATGCTAGCTGAAGTTGAGATCATCTGGTATCCGGGATATCGGAAATCTCGGAACGAGAATAGCACGATGGACAATCTCATCATACAAAAACACACGACACCAGTTTAGCTCTGTACCGGTGCCGTCCGTACCCAGCCCAGGCCGGGCCGGGACTTTTCGATCTTTCGATCTTTTCGATATGAGTCGATCTTCTCGTACCATTTGTCATCTCATAATCCGGCGCCACGCCGGCCTCAATTCTGATACAAGTCGGAGTGGGCGAATATTTGGCATAGATTGACCGGGCTGGATCCCTCCTAGCTCGTCACTTCATCTTTCATCAGATGATGGTCTGCGAATCAGACCGCCGTGGTCCGTGTAAACCACCCTGGTCCCCGGATCAGACCGTCCTGGTCTGTGTGGACCGTCTCGGTCCGGCCCGGCGTTGGTCCCAGTCCGAAGGATAAGGCGGGGATCATCACGGGACTATCGCGTGATGCTTGTGTTTGTGGCAGACAGATTGAGAGTTGGATAGTGTACGGGATGCTATCGGTCTGCTTTTGAGCTCAGCTAGTCGGCTAATCTCGGATATTATGAATATAATAAGAATTGCATTCCTTTTTCTAGTACTTCGCCGCATCTTAAGTACTCACCTCTCGTACCAGATGCACTGACTAAGACAAAACAACCACAGAGCAGGCCATGCGAAAACAGGCTCATTTATCCGCCCACGACTGCTGGAGCCCCTCAAACAACAATCCCCCATGGCCGGCGAGCAGCGGCGCCCTTGAACTGGCGACCTGTCTGGAGCGCTCTCTGGCGGCCCACAGGTCGCTCCGCACCGTACTGTTCCCCTGTGACCGGGTCGGTGAGTTCACACTCCCTGACCTGGCGGAGAGCGCCCGGGCAGCCACCGCGGCCCGGCGGTGACACTACCGGGACTACCACAGCTGCCATGGCCCTCGGCGCTCGTCTCGTTCAACTATACCCTTGGATTGGATGTTCATCGGGCCGGCACCTACCACCTGACGGTTTTCTGGTAGTCCCCCCCCCCCTCCCCCTCCAGACCCTCTGACGACCCAACTCGAGCCGACCGAACTCTCCTGTAGCGGCGGCGGCGGGGCGCCCACAATAGCCCACTATTTGGACGTCCAGCTAATTTCGGCCCATAGTCCGTCCAGACCCCACAACTCCGACGGTGGCTGCCAGTAACCCTCCCAGTCTCCCTGCTAGCCCCTCTCCCAAAATGGGAGAAATTAATCGCCAAATCGCCAAATTAATTAAATTAACTTGCCAATAGGCATTCATAGTCACCTGATAATGGGTGGTGACGTAGCGAAACGAATATATCAGCGATCCGCACGGTAGATAATGACGGAGCCGCTGACCAGAATTAATTTCAAAATGGTGCGCGCACAGGCAAAAAGTTGAATTGCATCCGCTAGCATTGTTTTTGTTTCGATATTCGAGATGAACAGTCTATGTATACTTCAGACTTCTGATCTCGCTGTCAACAGCAGACATCCTGGATAGCCATTTCAGTGGAAGAACTCGCGGAACCTGTCGCCTTCAGCTGCGTGGAATCATAACTCAAACAACCGATTCCAGGCTGGATTGTGAACGCATCTTGCCCAGTTGATGGCAGGCCAGACGAGCAGCTCAGCGTCAGGTCATCGTGCTTGAGCAGTAGGTCAGGTCAGTCAGGTGATTTGGTCCGTCAGGTCCAAGCTTTCTAACACTTCGTTTATAGAGGGGTGAATGTCACATGTGCTAGAAAACAAACATAAGGTCGATATTTGGTGAGATGGATTATACTCAACAGGCATTTTGGACCCTACTGCTCGCGATGGGTCGAATTACTCAAATTATAAACATAAAAAATGTTCTGTTGGAAATATACGATTACACTTATCCAACTAATAACGACAGACGCTGGTCAGGCCACGTCAGGTCAGGTCAGGTCAGGTCAGGTCGGGTCACGTCAGGTCCAGTCGTCGGTCACTCACCGATCGTCGGGGGTCAGCTGGACGGGTTCATCGGTGAACTCTGGCGGGAAGTTGGCCAAATCTCTCTCCGTCTCCACGCGGGGCTTATACGGCGGGGTCACCTGCTTCTGTTCGAGCTGCAACAAACGTCCGCCAGGGGCGCCACCGTCAGCGGCGGCCGGCCGGACGGTGACCCGGCGCCCGGCGGGCGGCGCTACCTATCGCACCCGGCGACCGACAACACGGGCACAACACTCAGCTGCCAAAACGAAACGTAAGCACTGCACCGAACAAAACGAAAGCGCAGCCACTCCTGAAAACATAAACGTAAGGCGCTATCGCTGCCTAAAAAACGCAACTCAACGCCAAACACCACTATAACGGGAACGAAAGCCACAGCGGTTGTAACGTAAACCATACGAAGCAGTACCAACAAACACAGGGACAGGGTCCAGCAGGCGGGCAGGCTGGCAGGCTGGCAGATGCAGGCTCAAGCCGACCTCGACAGTGAGCGCAGGCATGCGGGTCGGGTCAGGTAAGCCACATCACTCACTGGTCGGTGGGAGTGAGCTGGACCGGCTCAGACGTGAACAGGGGGTCAAAATACTCCAGGTCTACGTCGCCCGACAGCGGGGGCACGTACGGAGGTATCAGCTGGCGCGCCTCCAGCTGCGGAAAGGCACCGACGCACCAGCGGTTAGTTGGGTTAGTGGGCAGCGGGTGAAGTGGGTTTAGTGGGGTTAGTCAGTCCCGGGTGTAGTGGGGGTTTGTGTCACCTGGGTTAGCGTGGGTTAGTGAAAAAGTGATGCCGGGGTAAGCGGGTTTGTTGTGGGGAAGGGGAGTGAGACAGTAAGCGATGAGAAGTGACCACTCGATTAGTGGGGGACTGTCCGATGCCCATGCTTTATCCTGAGATGTAAGGCTAGAGAAGCGGGAGAAAATCAGTGGCTTGTAGCGTGGCAGAACAACGGAGCAGAGTTATTTTGGCCTGTATGATATACGTCGCTTCTATCATTAGAGCCAGGACAAGTTAGCACAGGGAAGGATCATTCAAGATTCACCGGTTACCAGCATACGTGCAGCAAGAGTTACTTCAACATTCATCAGTTAAAAGTGGCACACACGCACATATTGTTAGCAGAACCTCCAACAACACTTGCATATGTGTTTGAACTTTGAACAGCAAACAACCAAAGCACTGGCACCACATTAATACACGTAACAGCGGTAACATTGACACTCAAACACAGCAAAACTCGTCGTGGGCGCATTGTGGGCTTAATGCACGTCACCAGAACACGCACTTCCAAATAACGCAGACGGGACAACCAACGAGGGCATAACCACGAGGCTTACATCTGCTGCTGACAATTTACAGATAGCATGAACAGCGAAATTCGTATATAGCCGTACATAGTAATTCAGTTAAAATTCGACCTAAATTCGATTTGCAACCCACGTGACATTACGCTATCAAGAGGATATAACTGTATGCTACCCCCAGCGCCTGTCTAGCATCAAGTCCGGTGGAGCCGCTTTATGCTGGTGGCCTCCGTCAAATCTCTAACGTCTTGCCTGCTCAAGGCTCAGTGCAGTAATCGGACGGACAGGCACGGAATACCGCGCTGGCTGGGACAGGTAGCAGCCAGTAGCAGCGGCTCTGATGTGCCGAGAAACCACCTCCGTTGCACAGTCACGCGCGTGAGGCCATTTTAAGCCCGGCCACCACCGTCGGCGCGGCGCGGCGGTGACGAGGAAGACCCGACTCGCCTGTTCCGTGCACTGTTTGTATCAACATGTCAAACTAAGCCTGATTTCGCGAGTAGACTCCATAAATCCGGTTGCCATGATGTCATTTCATGCACAGCGCCCGACCACAAGCGCCCACCGAAATACGAAGCCCGCCGGCTTCCAACAAACTCCCAAATGCCGGCGGTCACATGACGTTAGATCGCTGGCGGGGGTCGCTTTGATGACACCGGTGAAAACTCCCCGCTGCGGGGCCGCTCCACTCCCCGAAATGGCGACACGGCACAGCAAACGGAGCCCGCCGCCCGGCCGTGTAGGAGGCCGGCAGGTAAACATCCCACCCCCGATCGACAGATACTCCCCGGCACGTCGACAGCAGCATGCGACGCGGACCGAGTGACCCGCGCTGCCACACACGCTTGCCGTGGGCCAGTCGGCGGCAGGACGGGGGCGGAAAGGGATATCCAGGCCCCATTTGGGAACAGACACATGTCACGATGCATCGGAGCGCATGCAACCGAGTGACAACAGAGGTGCCGTTGTCCTAGCGGCGATAGTCGACCCACGGCCTGTCGACAGCGCTATTGTTGTCAGATGAGACAAACTGGCTCGACCGCGGCGCGTGGCGCCGTGTGGGGAGCCGCGTGTCACAGTGTCGAGCGCCGCGTGTCAGGTTCGGGTGACGTGTGTTAAGTGTGTGTCGGTGTGTCGGATGGCCCGCTTTAAGTCGGCACCATTACTGACCGACGACAGAGTCACAGACCACAGCCTTGGCCAGCAATTTCAGTGCGACGAAGTGACTAAATTGACCCCGTCACGGCGGAGGTAGCACGGCACGCCACTGTGCTGGCAGCCGGGTCCGAAACGAAGCTCGATCAGGTGACCACCGGCGCTCTGACGACTACCATTTCCTCGCTCATCCCTCACCGGGTAAAACTGTGGCAGTACTTAGCGCCGGATACCGCGCCGGCGAATCTCAAACGCTCCAACTGCCATCCGGAGGGCCGCTCTTGGTAAACACTGACGTCAAAGGGTCGCGCGCGCCGGCCCGATTCGATCGCCGGTCGACTAACATTTGGGTTCGGCGGGCTGCGGAGGCCGGACAGACGGTAAAAATGCGGAAACAGCAGCGCGCCGCCGCGACAGCCGCTCCGCCCGCCGGACGGACAGGAAATGAGCTCGCTCAACAGCGCCGCCGAGCCCCGGTAAATGTTTTGGCGCCGCCCGAACAGTCTGAGGTGATCGCTCACAGCTAATGGACGACCGATTATAAAAGTCAACGGGGAAACATTTACAGCTCATGCAAATAAAGACATTGCCCAAGGCGGTCTTAGCAAAAGCAGGCGAAATATTCCAACAGCGAAGGCTTGTCAGACATTGGGCGGCACACTGCCGAGAAGTTAGGCATTTTCATTGTTCAGAAGTGAACCGTAGGTACTGGAGGTGCGCGAGCCTCATAATCCCAGCATCAATTTAATTACATCTTCAAAGAGTAAGTTCGCGCACCAGAATTTAGAGCGAACGCTTCGCTGGGCTCTTTCCACGCCAATCTCTTCAAAGAATCCAATTGCGCTGCCTCCCGTGAAAAATAAGTCGCTTCAAAGGCACCTGCCGGCAAGACGAGAGATTCCAACCAATTCGTTAGTTTAAAAGTTCCGTCTTCAGGGCTGCCGGAATTTCTCAACAGCGAGTCACGGTGCCGGGGGTCCGGGTCGACCTGTCACGGACCATAAACTGTCCTGCAAGGGGCCGACGCCGGGCCGCTGGCCAGTCGCCGAACAATGCCACGGCGCTCCGCATGCCGCTCGAGCCAAACTCCAAAACTGCGACGCTGGGGACGCGCGCCCACACAAACGGATCTGCCCGACCGACAGCCGGAAAAGCATTAACATACTTGCGAGCGCCAGAGTCGTTAGCGACAACGAACTTGTTCTCGGACGTTCCTGAATTGTATCCGGAAAGCAATGAGCGCGGCTCGAGTGCCTGAGATGCCCGGTTCGTCAACCATCCGGTGGGTCAGCAGCGGAAAAGGGACGTCCACCTAGCTACTGGGGGCCGCGTGACGACATAAATCCGAATTGATGAGCCGCACAGAGGATGATTCACTCTTCTAGAAATAGAAAATTACGTATGCAAGATCTCGGGTTCGGCGCCGCTCAACAATGCCGATGGCGGGATAAAAGGTTCATGACGGCGTTCTTTAAGATCGTTTTCAGCATGTGACGCGGGTTAGTAAATGCATCCTTTTACGTACACAATAATATTCAAGGTTATGTGGATTACTAACATGGATTTACCAACAACGTAAAGCCGTTCTGTCAGATTAAGATGTCACTGAGCCTTGCAATATTAATTTTTTGCTTCTGATAAAACTACCGTGATGAAGGACTATAAAACTTTTATCATATTTATATAAATGTTATCTAGCATAATGATCTAGCGTTGCAATGGCCACGGTAGCTCGCCAGATTGCATGACACATGGGGGCAACACATCGCTACTGGGTATAGTGACCGGAAGTCACGAGAAGCGGACCACGCGATCAACATCTTGGCACAGCATCTGGCACTGCTCTGAACGTTACATAACAGCTTCTAAAAACGGCAGAAAATACGGAAGAGTAAAAAACCACTGCATTCCCAAGATAATATTTGGATACTGTTTAGTTAAATCCTCTTACACCACGCCACTCTATTTCAAGCCGAACTGAGCCCAGCTATGCGCAATCTTATTTTGAACCATGCCCAAGCTCCAACCGAGCTCTCCGCGCTCTGCCAAACCACCGGGCTGCTTTATCCGGAGGGCAGCGTCCGGCTGCCTTGCAGGCCCGTGTCCTGCCCTAATGAAATTTCAGACTGAGCTGTGCCCAGCGGACCGGAATCGGCCGCGGCGGTGCAGCGGTGTAACTTTGGCCCGCTTCCTGCCGGCCGGGCGGTGGAACGCCGTCACCGCCCGGCCCGGAGCTGCACGTACCGGCTGCCGTCCCTACCGGCGCAGAGGCACGGAGCACCGGGCACACGGTCGGGTTAGTCGGGTCAGAGGGGTCAGTCAGTCCACCAGCCGGCGCGGGTTGCGATAGCTGAGATATGAAGAGAAATGCAGTCAATATGTCGCGCTACATGTCACCCAACCGGAGCCATGTATAGCTGCTAGACAAATTGGTGGCGTTTTACAGGCAAGGCTGACAACTGGGAAGATATAGTGCCAATCTGGCACGTGGCTGTTTCAATGCGCTTGTCGTCCGGCCTTTCGGCTTTTCGGCGACTCTGCAACTCGGGTCTGTCAACTGCTGGATACATGACTATTGACTGGGCGCCTTGCTGGGCACAGTGATTGATGGCCGACAGATTCTGGCGGATTATCCATCGCTGCTCAGGTTGCAGCCAGTATGCCAACATTTCCTGGAAAAGACATCTACACTAGCCATAGCCAAAGCCTGGTGTCTCTGCAGGTCTGCCCGTTAATCTGAGCTAATATCCTGGCGCCGCGTGGGCCTCCCACTCGCGATCGAAGGCGCCCAATCAATGTCAATGCTGCGCCTTGAGAGACGGGACAGATCCACACAGCATGATCAGTTAAACACAAGGTAAGTAACATCACGACCACAATGATGCTAGCTAGACCATCAGTGGGAACAAAGCAGGAGACCACCGTGCACGAGCTCTAACCACCATGAATAGTCATGACACGGTCCTTACGAGCCACGTTACACCTTCCGTAGGCATTTTCGTTACACCTTCCGTAGGCATCGTAGACACCACTGCAGTCAGTTATGCCGTGCGGAGTTTCCAAGCAACCCCCGCCAGTTGCGATAGCTGACTCAGTCTCAGCACTCAGCAGCAGTGTCAGCGACACCCGCAGGGACAGTGGATTGGACGGCGGCGGTCGCTAAACCGCAGACCGATGATAAGCCAGCCACCGTCTCTGGTAATCCACGTGCCGACGGCGGCGGACCGGGCGGGGGAGGCCCCTCAGCCGGTAGCTGATCCAGGGGATGCCGGTCCCCGGCCGAGCCCCCAAGTAGTCCCCAAGCTCCACTGTTATGGAGTACAGGAACGGTGACAGCTGGGTGGCCAAAAACGATGGCAAGGTAGCCGGTGGTGAGCGGGTGGAGGGCTGTCAATGCACCCAATGACCTCAGGTGACGGCACGAGACGGCATCAAGAAGTGACCCAAACGACCAAGGTAGATTCTAGCCCTAGGTTCGCTTGATTAGCTTATCAGATGGATTACCTTAGAAACCAGTCCATGTGGAATGAGCTAAGCCACCAAACAAACAACCACAACGATCCACGCCTTCCATCATCATTGACTAAACCGATTTTTTTTTTTAGTCAATCAATCCATCTCGCGCTCTTCAATCATTTTTTTTTTTTGAAGTCTGAGTAAAAAAAAAACCCTCACCACCTTTCACCCCTTCCGCGTACGTACTACGGCGCACGGGCGACAGCTGTCACAACCTGTCACCTGGGCTGTCACACCAGCCGCCACCTTCCTCCTGTAAGGCGGCACGCCACGCGGCCTGTCCGACAGACAAAAAACCACCGAACACGGCGCGTGACACGGCGCCTGACGCGCCGGCGGCGGTACCGCGACAGAGCGACAATGCCGCGGCGGCGACGGAGGGTTCCGCGAAAACCGGCACCGCACGGCGGCCGGCTGGATAGGTAGAGGGGACGCACGGACAGACGGCGGCCTTGGCTCATAGCTGGGACAGGGACGGTATGAGAGAGACGATGGTGGCGCTACGCACGGAGCTGCACTGCTACCTGGCGGACGTTTTGTGAAACTTGAGCGCAAAAATGATACGGTAAAAGTTGCTTTGTGGTCTGGATGCCGACCAGCCCCAATAGCCACTTTGGTCATTGGTGGTACGGGTATCTACTTCCATGCGTGAGCATCACTGCCGTGGCATATGCATTGCAAGTCGGTAACTTATCAAACACCTAATAAGGATCGCGCACCTTATTTACAGAATTTCCTCACATTCGGAACACACAAAAATTCAGCTCTCATTACAGACTTGCCTGGTAAAGTGACCTACATAACGCCACCATACTGCAATTCAATAACAAAGGTCACACGATAGGGCTAGAAAAACAGCACAATGTGGCATATAGACAGTTTACCACACCGCGTCATAATCAACTCCTGTAATCACTGTCATCACACAGCAAACACAGTGACAAGAGACATGAGAACGACATAAACACGCGCGGAGCCCACCATCACTAACCAACACATACATCACTGAGACAGTGACGCCTAATCATTAATTATATTGCATGCATACTCGTTATTAAATTGTCAGACGTCCTTGTGCAGTTACTTTGATACACCACGTCAAGCCGCCCTTTCGGAGTCAGTGGCACCTATTTCTTTTCCCTTCCCACCCACGGCCAATCCTCTAGCCAACCTCTTCCGTAAGTCCCCTAGACATACCAGTTCCCAGTCGATGGACTTGAAGAAGGGGTGGTTGACGATGTCCTGGAAGCCGGTCTCCGGGTGGCAGCCCAGCCGCTCGCCGGGGTTCTTGTTGAGGAATCCCTTCAGGATGCTGCACGCCTTCACGGAGAGCGACCGAGGGATGCGGATCGTCTTCTCCAGAATCACTGGCGGACGGCAGCGGCGGGAGGTAAGTCAGGTGATGGCCCTAGAGAAATGCTGCCGGGTCTCACGGAGCTGGGGCGATGGTGCTTGGGAAGGGCGACGGGCCTACGGGGAGGTGATGGTCCTGATAGAGGGGTGATGACAATCAGGAAACACGTGACGCCGCGATGAACACACCATTAGCGGTGGAGACACTCGAGAGGGCGGCCGATGTCTCCTGCGGCGTGCCAGGGCGTCATCTGGGAGCCGCCTATGCGTGAGTTATGGTAGCCTTGATTACATCCTAGCGTTCAACAGTTCAAAGGTTGCAACATATAACCATAGGTATTAAAGCAAAACCTCGCTAAAATGTAGCTACCATGATGAAAACAAACTGAGTAGACGAATAAGACAAAGAAAACTGAGGTTGCCTTTGATCCATCAAACATGTCCTAGTGTTTGCAAAAAGATTAAAGGACCAGAGATTATAACACACGGTTTGCTGGCTGAAGCTATTAACAAAACTTACAATTCAAAAGTCAGCTTGCCGAAAAATGGGGCAGGATTAGACAGCAAAATGGCGGATCTGAAAACATATTCACTCCAATGCCACGTGGGGCACGCTAAAATCGCCAGTACAGCGAACTTGCACACAATCAGTAGGCCCGTCCAACTTCTGTAATCGGGGCGAGTAGTGTCGGGGTTATATCAAACAACAAATCCCGGCTGGCTAGCCCGCTTCGCTCCGAGCTACGAGCGAGTCTCCCGCTGCCCTAACGTCAGTCTCACGGCACACCACGTCACAAAGTGACGTCACATCACGTCACGTCACACAGCTGACCGGAGACGTGCGCAATGAGCGCCCGTCGGAGGTGGGGCGCCATCGCGGCGGTCAGCTCTGGCGAGGAGAGGCTGGCACGCAGCCCGGCCGGCCAGCACCCTGTCACGTCACAGCGGCGGACCGGCGCGGAGTTCACGAACTGGTTAAAACAGAGCCCGGGACACTCTGCAGCCTTTTGGACCCCCTGTGGTTCCCCACAGCCCTTCCCAGAGGCCCAAGCAGTCTCCTGCAACCGACTGTGCCCCCACGCTAGCAAGCTGCAACCTCCTAAAGCCCTCGTGATTCTATAGAGCTCCGGTAAAAGCCCTGCAGTCAGCCAAAGCATTTCAAATATAGAGATCAATTAACATCACTCATGAGAACCTTCATCCTTCCGGTCATCAGAGCCTGGTCTCAAATTTCCAGCCCCCAGGGATGAGACAACTACGGTTCTACCGACCTTGGAAGAGGTAGTCCTCGGTGTTCTGGTCGGGCGACTCGGAGCAGACGCCGATGTCGAACGGACTCCTTCCGGCCAGCATCTCATACATGAGCACTCCGAGCGCCCACCAGTCGACACTGCCGACACACAGCGACATCTATAGAGTACAAACGCAACGAGAGCTGCCACAGCCAGACGCCGGGCGCCGCCACTGGAGCAGCCACTGCGAGCGAGTCGCCATGAAGAACGACTGGGGCGGGCGGGTATGATCGATCTAAGAGGGTTCGGGAGTGACCCCATATATCAACGATCTGCATAGTCAGACACACAGAATAGGATCAACGACATGTGATGAAAATCACTTATGACATTAATTGCATCCGGAAAATTACGACGCAAACGTTAACACCCAGTGACGCGTGTAGGCATTTCTACGGATACAACAATGCCACCTCAACAGTCATCACACATTCCATTGCTCGCCTACAACAATCACAGGACCAATAATACAGGACAGTGCACTTCAAACCGTGGTCACTCGACGATAACAACAGAAACCCAGAGTCGATGTATGCGATGACCTGCAACTCAACCATGTCAAAATCCCTCTAGCTTTGAAGCTAGAGTACACAAAGCATGTAAAACAGGATTGCATTTAATATTATCCGACCCTGCATGATTGAAATAACCAGCGTCTTCCCTCTCCACCAGCCTCTCACCTGAACCCATAGTCCTCTCCGCGCAGGATCTCTGGTGCAATGTAGTTGGGCGTGCCGCAGAAGGTGGACGTCGAGTCGCCCTGGCGGATGCCCTCCTTGCACATGCCGTAGTCGGTCAGCTTGATGTGGCCCTCGTGGTCGATCAGCACGTTGTCCAGCTTCAGGTCGCGGTATATTATGCCTGGAGGTCGGGAAGAGGAACGGGTGGATGACGACGACGGTGGCGATGATAGAGATGGTGTTTGAATTTCGGGCATTCAAAATGATTTATTGGTGATTTCTGTAACCTTCACGAGACATATTCAATTTTAAGCGTGAATTTGTGCGTGTAAACATGTTGAAAACTGAAGATCGTTGAAAGTTGCAAGAATTCGTACGATGTTGGCCTGAAATGAATTATTCCGCCCATTCCCATTCACTCTATAACCTTTCGCAATGTCTCATAACTGACGATCTAACACTACACAATATCTACGGAACATACGTCGGTGGACGAAGACGTTAAAAAACAAACTCGTCTGAGTGCCCCACCTCTCTCGTGCAGGAAGTTGAGCGCCAGGCAGATCTCGGCCGTGTAGAACTTGGCGTGCTCCTCGGGCAGCTTCCTCTGCCGCTGCATGTGGAACATCAGGTCGCCGCCGCGAACAAACTCTGGAGATAAAACAGCCAAGAAATGTCAATCCACCACTGCGCAAAAACTCTCAAAACACGGGTGTGGACGAGATCGGCACCACGCACAAACCCTTAAAATGGCCCTGGACAGTGAGGTAACAATCGAACATAAGCTCTAAGAACACACCCAACATTAGGTAGGTGCTGGTGACACGGACCGCCCACCACTATCCATCGCAAGGCAGGTGTTGGTCCACATCTCAAACCGCCACCCTGCCTCTCCGGTCTATGAAGTGGCATCGAGCACAAACCACGCGCGGTATAAATCCGGCTGATGAATCCTCCTCAGAACTGTGGGGAGGTGTCCGGAACTCCAACGTCCCCCGCGTCCACCGGCTTTGTGGAAACGACAGTGGTAGGAGAGAGGCGCCAGCCCCCGGGGCCACATACATATTTCATGCGATATTTTATGCCCATAATTCGGCCGTTCTGCCGGCGGCCGGGACGATTCGACGACTTTAGTTCGGAGTATGGCTGGGTGACGACTCTTGGGACGCACTGTGGCGGCCGGAGAAAGGCCGATATGGCGGCCTTTCAAGGCAGCGCTTCAGAACAGCACTTGAGGGCGCCACTTGAGAATGGCGTCTCCAAGCAGCGCTTCGAGCCAACACTTCCGGGGAACACTCTAAGCGAAGACAATTACGTAGGCATTTCAGAGTTCCGAAGTAACTAGTTCAGCCCACATTTACTGCTACGTACTGATGCATCATTCGCCGTTTACACACCAAAGAAAATATCCGTAACCTCCTATGACGAGAGCCCAACCAGCCATTAGAAGCCGGAAAACCACCGATGACACGGTCGCCTGGGGAAGACGTTTATGCGGCGCGATTATCTCTTCGGACATGATTGTCGGCAATAGGGACCCAAATCGCGTCCTCGCATGCCGCGCCACCGTGATGCAAACACAGCGGACGGCGATGACAATGCCGGGCTAATTGGATCGTTCCATGTGATTGTCGGCACGCGAAAGTAGCCTCTATTGACGGCGACCGCTGCTGTATGCGCTGTGTGCTTGACGTATAAAGCGTAATGACCGCAGTCGTGTCTATGTCCTATACCAATAGACAACAGCGTATGCATGCATGACGTACGTTTTTAGTGGTCATTTAATGCTATTATACAGTTATACACACAATGTCAGCGAGCAGCTGATAAGAAATGATAAAGCCTTGACAGCCCAATACAATATACATAATGCAGTCGCATGTTACTACATATGTAACGATTCGAGTTGCCGGAATGCAATCACAGCCCTTATGGAATCAATAAAGATGCCGAAATGCAGACTAAAGGCAGCACTGGGCGATACGTTACCAAACCACCCAGTTTACGCCTCCCGAATCACTCAGGTCACGTTGCTACATTCCAGAGTTCAAGGCATGTCGACATTTGGACCACTGCAACGAGGTTTTTCAACGAAGTTATCAGCGACATGAGCACATTTCAGAAAATCAGGGAAAACAAAACAACTTGCATGTCAGTACGAATACGGCAGTTCATCAGGAATTTGATATTACGACAGGGGTAGTTACTTCATGATTTTCCCATTTAAATAAAAACTAATTGTCATTCTTTCAACAACAAGCATAACACCATCCTCGGAGGCAATTTCGAACATCACGCGGCGGCGGCGACGGCGGAGGCTGTGATGAGGAAGGCGTCGGTGTGCCTGCGGCGTTGGCGGGCGGTGGCGACGGCGGCGGGCGATGGGCGGCGATGTCCTCTGCCATGTCGGACGCCGCCGGGCGGCCCGTTAGGACGTCTCACCACTAATGGGGCCTGCCGGTGCGGCGCCACGTCCGCCACTCTGCCGACCTACTACCGAGAAACACGAGACGCCGCCGCCTCCCCGCCGACGCCAGACAGGCAGGCAGACAGAGACAGACAGACAGAGACACACATCACAGACAGAGAGATGGGCAGACAGACAGGCAGACAGGCAGATGGACGGCGCCGGTCGCCGCAGCCTCGCTGCCAGGAACAGCCGCCGGCAGACGCAGCCGCCGCCACATCAGGCCAGCCACTGGCTTCCGCTTACACCAGCCTTACGCCGAACAGCGGCCGTCGCTGCAGCCACCAGTTTCAGCGTGAATACCAGCCGGCCGTCCTAACTGGTTAAATATAGCTCTACTGTACCCGCTAATTAGTTCTGCTGCTATCGCGAAGATTTGCTAAACTTAAAGTGTGCTCTTGCATCGGCTCATGGCTTGAGTTAACCACTTTTGTCTCAAACTGTTCAGTATTAGGCGAACAGTTACAAGTCATGTTCAAGATTCTTCAGAATGCAGGTCTCGCAACAGATGAAAATTGCCAGAACAAGTTCGATATCCGGGTCCAGTTAATCCACAGTACGTAGTGTTTCATACACTCGGCGTCATCTTCACAAAGTCATCTCTTACGTCTAAAACTCGCCGACACCGGGCCAAAACGTACGGCCGTGTCAAATCGCCGACAGTTCCGCGGCGCTGCGCGGTACGGTAATTGATCCGGCCGCAGGAGGTGATCCATGTGGAGTGTCACGTGGGCTGACACGATGGGATGTTACAGGACGGGGACCGGCGGCGGGCCGGTGATAGCTATATACTCTGGGCCAAGCTCTGGGCGATAGCAGGGTATATTGACTTACAGGGTATGGTCATTTGGCAGCCCAGGATTTGTGATGGATAATGCGCAGCAAAGACATCTCTGGCGCATGCTTTTAGCATGAGGATACTTTTTACAATATATGACGTAATTATTATTTTATTACAGTTTTTGATGATTTTTGTGTTTTTGTTTTTACTTTTTCACCGTAATATAATTAAGACTTTGTATTTACAAATAATTCATGTTTTTGTCAGTGCTGTGGATATGTTGAAAAAAGAATTGACGTCATCAAAGGTTGAGTGAAACAATTTACTACTTTCACGTAAACTTGACCTTGTTGGTAATGGGAAAAATGTAATGTAAACATATATCAGTCTCTGTGCTTATGTTGATTTGTGGTGAAAGCTAGTTATTTATTTGAATTGTGGTGGAGTTTTGGTTCAGTAGGTATGATATATATATTAACCACCCGCTGAAATTCAATGCAAGCAATTTTGAGCTGAAATTTCTGCATCATTTGCGCTGAAAGCTGGGGTCGTGCTGTGAAACATCAAAGAACTCACCTGTTCAACTTACCTGTTGGGGGTTCCCTGCCTTTAAGAGTACAACATAGAGGCGCAAATGTAAGCCCCAATAAAACAAGCCCCTGGCCGGAAGTTCAGACCCTCTTCAGACCCGCTCGCAGGATGAGTCTGCTGCTAGATTGACCAGCGTGCTGAAAAATTTGGTGACCACCATTTGCAATAAAATTCTGCTGCAGCCGTGCGCCGAAAAATTCAGCGGCCACCATGCGCTGAATTTGGCGCATGCGAAATTGCGCCAGGCTGAGACTTGTGCTGAAATTTTTGGCGCAATTCTGCCATTACGCCAAACATATTTGGTGTATTTTTTTCAGTCTGGGCGTGGCCCATCCAGAGCAGCTCTGCGCTCCAAGGTCCTGTGGTGGTGAGCGTCTCGCCTCACCAGAGGTGGACTGGCGATGGTAGCCAAGATGCCAGCTTTCAAACACCAGGTGCCAGAATCAATGCGTAATTATGTACATTTACCTTTCCAGACTTAGCTCTGCCTTAATAATGCTGTGATTGTTTGGAAGACTAATAAATCTTGCATGCTTTGTACACAGGATGACTAGACCATTAGGCAAAACATTTTACCTGCGTTAAAATCGTGCTAGTGAATAGTGACCAATATGCACATTGCTTTCTTGTCCATAAACTATTTTTGGAAGCATTGATTCAATGCAACCTGAATAAAAATATGTACAGTTGTCAGTTACACATAAGCAAATACCATTTTACTTATTAAATTTAGAGCTGCTCAGTGATTGCACAGTTTCTGAAAGAAAGATGGGTATCATGATGCCTGTTGTTCTCGATTATTTGTTTTATAGGGGTGCTGCAGCGTCAACAGGCTCATGATACTTACTACCCTTTTATTATGCCCTTTGTCCACGCCATTGACAATATTGTTGTGCAAGAAAAAGTATAAATTAAGTGTTTTTGCTGGATAAAGGGTGGGATTTATTTGTTTGTTTCTTTTTGTAACTACACGCTCCGCGGCTGAACCTCTACCTGTATGGAGTGTGCCGTGTCATGCTGCGCCGCTTAAAAACGCATTATGTTATGCCGTCCTAATTGCCTCGCATCGTATCTTTTAAAGACAATAATTGAAGCGTGAGCGTAACGTGAAAGGCCACAACATCGAGAACTCCAACACATTTTTCCCTATTTGTTGTCAGGTCTCCGGAATGGCGCGACAGAAAGTCCGGCCCGCCTACGAGCTGCTGTCTGCTTCGTGCGGTCTGGCCGCACAGACGTACTCGGTACATGCCCGGAAAGGAGAAAGAGACAGCCTTCCTCTTCACCATTGACAGCGGCATGGGCGTCCTCAACAGCTCGGCCATCCGAGGGACGCCAAAACACTGCGGAGAGGCTGCTCCGGTACTCCCGGGCAGGAGGACGCCCTCTCTAAGCTGGTGGAAGAGGTGGAGGGACTGCGCTTCGGCTCAGCTGGTCACCTCCTCCCGTTCCAGAAGGGTCTAGTAGTGACAGTGAAGGTGGAGCGGGGTCTGCTCGCTGACGTGCTCGCTACCCTACCGGCTTTCCCAGAACCGGCTGTAGGGCTCGTTCAGCCACATCCGCGGCTCTGGCGGCGGAAGCCCCAACCCCACGACGACAGAGGTGAAGGGGCGCCTCCGCCTGTTCACTCTGATCCAGCTTGCGCGTCACGGGCCCACGGCGTGCAGATTAAGAGTCGCTCACCCGCGGCGCTCCCGGTACCAGCAGCGGAGGCGGAGGCGGGGGCAGAGCCGGAGGCAGATGAGGATCAAGCCGACCAGGCGCAGATGGTGGTGCAGGAGGCGGTATACCCTGAGCCGCCCCAAGAAGTTCCTGAGGGGACGGAGAGCCTGGAGCCCGTTCCTGACGAGCCAGCCCCGGACGCAGAGGAGGAGGCGGAGCAGGAGAGGGCGCAGCTACTGCGGGAGGCCGAGACAGTGCATATACCGCCTGCGCCCTCAGCGGCGCTGGACGCTGAGACTGGTGTGCCGGCCACCGAAGGTGCAATGGCGCATCTGGCCGGCTACATCGCCAGAAAATGCGGCCCCAGTTTCGGCGCGCTGGCGATGGCATCTGAGGACGCGCCAGTTCAGACGCTCTGGACTCGACTGCGCAGCGCGGCCGGCGGACTCACGATCCCCTCCCAGCTCTGCTTAGACCTGTTAAATCAGCTCGAGGCGGAGTTCATATATGTTTCACGTGTTCGCTAAAGTGTCTTGAAAATGCTCAAATGTGTGCCATTCGTGATTTGCCTGATGATGCAGTGCAAGTACTGTGAAACGCGTTGCAGTTAATATAGCTGATGATATGTAAATGCAGTCTACATCCATATCGTGCTCAAATAATGTAGCGCACAAGCTACCCTGAGGTAGGCTTTGAATTCACCGAATTTTCCAGTCGACCGTTCAGATGGAAATCAACTTGAGTACCCTGGTATGCTGAGTATGTTTTCGTAGTGTTACATAGCGTACCGTCGGACAGAATGGAGCTATGCTGCTGTGACATTCATCGAACCTCCCGTTTGATATTGGTTGCATACTGTGCAATGTGCATGTGTGCACTTTCACATATCGTGTTATCTGAAATTGAATCGACCTATGCCGCTGTGCCGCTGCCTGGGTTGCCGGCGACAGCGGCGGAGCGCATCTGATCGGCACAATGTTACAGATCAGGATCCGTCCTGTCTGGAGGTAATCGGACCGGTGTTTGTCTAGCCAGATGTCCTCCATCGTATCACTGATATTCATCTGTAAGGCTGTGCTCTTGCCTAATGCAGCTTCCATCCATTCAGTCAGTTTTGAATTGTAATAGAGGAAGCCAGATGTCATAGATGTCTTCGTTTAAGGGATTGTTTTCGCATGTCATGCATCGGAAATACAATCAAAATAGAATTAATTGATGATCAGCTATGCAACCGCAAATCAGCAGCATCGAATCTATGTACAGCATTGTTATGCACTTCTATAACCGAAGTGATCCGACGAAACACCAGCGACCCTCAGCCAAAATATACATTATATGCCCTGGAACCACAAGTGTTTGCTAATTCGATGCACATGAATACCGCGACTTTCCGCATGGAAATCAACAGCTATTATCACCGGTAACCAAAAACGTTATTGCCAGACGTTCATTTCAATGATAGCAACACAGCAACGCTAGTCAATGGGATGTAGAACTTCTTTCGGTGGCATATTTTGCATACTTCTCTACTTTTCTTCAGTAAAACTGACCCGGGATGCATAAGATAATCCATTTAGCTTTCAAATGACATTAGAAGTTTTGATTTGAGTTTCATAGTTCCTGAGATAATGCGGCTAGAAAAATGGCTAAAATCAGGGATTTTCCCATAGCTCAACATTAGTGAAGGAAAAACTTCAAGCTCTGGTGACGTCACGTGAGGAGGAAGCTGCCAATGACAATGACCGGGGGCCGGGCGATAGCGCCACTGCCTCAGACAGACACACAGACGCCACAGGTGGCCGAGGGGGCGTCAAACGCAGGCAGCGCGCGCGCCGCGTGGAGCGGACTCAGTCTGGGCTGCAGGAACAGTGGTGGAATGTCCGGTGGGGCTAGATTCAGGATGACAGGAGAATGCGCTATCATGTGTCTCATGAATGAGAAATAGCAAATCGAGGCTTGACATTACCTTACCGAATAGGTATCGGCATAAAAAATACAGCTGAGTCAGGCACAGAAAATATCTTCTGAACCCAGAGTAAAGCACAAGACGGCATCTTCTAAGCATAATCGTTGTTGCCAAAACCGATTTATCCGAGAAAAAAGCACTGTGGAACTTGACCAGAGTGGCATCTTAGGCACAAATCAAACAAAATTAAGCCAATCAGTGGCACGTGGGCACAAAATCTGCACCACTTACGATAACCCATTAATCGGTCTTATGGTGATACGGGAAACTGTTCGACTAACGATTCTAAGAATGATCCTGCCAATCAACCAAGTCATGAAACAGAGCTTCAACTTTTCTGCCCATAAATCTGTCGTAAAACGAACAGGGCGCTGATTGGTTGATGGTTCTCAGAACAGCCTTGCGCCGGTCGTAGTCACGAAACTGTCCTCTTATCTTTTCCTGTAGGTCACGTCGTAAATATTTCCACCTTTTCCTGTCAATTACACAGTGAATAACTCCGTATCGATCCGACAGGACAGTTGTCCGACTGAGTTGCAAGGTCAGCAAATGTTTGTCAACAGGTAGACGGACACATCAATGTAGCCTTCTCCCCCAGGAAGTCCTTATAAAGCACCACCTCGCCCATCCCTTATCACCACTTCGACTCTACCAGATCCGTTTAGACATCCACAAGACAACGCATATTAGAAAACACTCAGTCACTAGTCAGACCATTGATAGGCACCCTCGTTCGCTCACCGATAACAAAGAAGAGCCGGCTGGGACTCTGGAAGCACGAGTGCAGTCCGACCAGGAACGGGTGGTTGGAGGCCGTCTCGAACACGTGCTTCTCGGTCTGCACCCAATCAATGTCCTCGTCGTCCGTCACCAGCTCCTTCTTGATGACCTACGACACGCAACGCGGCGGTCAGCACCAACTTTGAACTCCTGTATGTACAGACGGCTATCACAAGAGGGGTGGAACTCCAGGAACTCCCATGTTATAACACAGGGAATGAACGCCAGGTATATACCACAAAGAGACGCAGCGACACCAGACATCCGCACATTGAGTGCGGGAATAGAGTATCCTAAGCGCTCTAATGCACAGGAAACGACCAGGCATTTCGCACCTTGAAACACAATATCATCTAGCGTCGCGCACGTTTTAACAGACGTTGAAATATCGCTCCGCGGCCATCAAGTTCGTCCCACAACACGACCTAACGCAGCGAACACACCAAACGTCTACCGTTATGGCTCTTAATTACCGCCGCTGTGTCATGGAACACACAGAAACGTTTCGTGAATGCCGTCGTTAACCGGCATGGACAGGTGTTGTTGCGTGACTTGCTGACAAGCAGCTAACATAATGATGTAGTTAGGGTGAGGGAATTCGACAGGTAGAAGTTCAGACGCGTGTTACGTAGAAATTTATTGCTGAAGAATCGCCAAATTATCTAAATGATTGAGTGGTAGCAGGAAGCCAATAAGGAAGTAAAGTTAAGTGCATTTCTTGGAAGACATTGCTAATTAATAAACTATCCACAATTAAACCACCACAGTGCCGTTGAGTAGTGCATAAACACTAGGTAGCTTGTGGGATTCGAGCCACTGACCTTCATAGCGTAGACGCGCTTGGTGCGCTTCAGCTCGACCATCAGCACCTTGGCGTAGCTGCCGCGTCCGATGACGCGGATCAGCTCGAAGTCTGCCAGCGAGTACTGCCGCTGACCTCCCGGCTCCAGATCTGACGGGACATGGGGCGGCGGTAAGACGGACGTACTGATAGAATTACTGTGGGTCTTGTGATGTTACACAGTGGGTTGCACTGGGTTACAGGTTCTTGTTACAGTGGGTCATGATCAGACTCCGGACGGCACATCGCTGCTGTATTACTGCCATGGCACTGATTGTGGATCACGGACCCACCCGCTCCAAGACGCTGCACCTGGAATTTGTGAAGACTTTTCGACTTACTTTGCAATAGCGGCAGCTGTCATCAGCAACCAAATTACACTACACCTACGACCTTGAAGCTACAACTAGGATTCTAGCACACTTTCTTCTTCTGCTTTTGCTCTGCTCTACTCTCCTCTCTATGCCTTGCTCTCCTCTGCTCTGCTCTCTCCCACGGGTCGCCAGGCGGCGGCTAAGACGCGCAGTGTCACCGCCCTCCGCCGAGGTACAGGTGGCGGCGCCGGCCGGGCCGCTCCCGGGGGACCGTTTGAGCGGCCCGGGTCGTCGCCTCCGCCCGCTACCTCACCTGGGCTCTGATCCATACGGGCGGCGCGGTCGTCGCTCGTCGCCGCCCGCTGTCGCCGCCGGCGCCAATACCGACCGGGCGGCAGCGCGGCTCAAGGCAGAGTCTCCACCGGCCTCCGTCCCGGTCACACGAGGAATATTAACGGGCACACGCCTACCTGCGCTGAGTCGGGAGGAGACGACAGCTTCGAAAATACCTCGAGCATGGAGAGGAGCCCCTCGAACGGAGGCCGGTCCGAGCGTAGAGGCACAGATAAAGTGACCTTCCGCGAATGTGCGGGCCGAGGGACCGTGCCAGGATGATGGGTCATGAGCCCGGCGGGCCGCGGCCGATGGCCCCCGGGGTGGCGATGGATCAGACGCCATTCGTTATCCCATTCACCGACCGTGAATGGAGCGCCACCGCCGCCCTCAGACAGGGTGGCCAGCCGGTATCGGCCCGGGAGGGAGGACCGAGACAGACACCCCTGAGACATGCCTGAGAGACGGAATAACCAACACCGAGAGACGGACAGCTCAGATGTAGTCGGCCGTCAGCCGAAGAATCTATCGTCAATCCAGCACCAAAAAACGGATGTCAATCCAGTACCCTGAGATGAATCGTGGGCTTCAGAGACTTGGATAGCTTTGGGCACCATTTCATAATGATTCGATCGACGCGTATTCTGACCGGTCGATCACGCAATATCCGCAGCCGCCAACTACGACCTGTTGTTACCCGAGCAACTGCTGTTCGTGAGGAGCCTCGCGTCGTCCTTCAGAGGCGCGGTCTCAACTGCCTAGGATCACGGTCGATAAGTTCGTGATTCGGCCACCCGTCACATCAGCAGCACCTTTTCCATCAGCTGGAGCAGTCGGTGCGTAAATTACGTGATTTTAACTTTATTGGAGTTGACGGCACGTTGCATAAAGAGTCCTACAAAAACAAACGTCTTAAAATCAAATTTTAAGCATCATTTAGTTGATCCGATACAAACGAGCATCACTAGCCTGCGGCAAAAGACGCCAGGGCTGGTATACTACTACTAGTCTCACTTTCCACTTTCTTTGCTAGCCCTAACTAGCCCTAACCCTTTCTTTGCAAGACAAACTTCTGTTGCGGCCGAGGAGAAACACCGCACGCGTGTTTATGACTTCAAACGCGACCCGTGCGCCGATGAAGGCGGTAGGTGGCGAGATTTCCACGAAACACTCCCCTGCGCCGGCGTCTAGCGAGGTGAATTTCCGCCGGGTGCCCGCGGGCTATTGTTTGCAGAAGCCGCGCCAGTGAGGCGCTTTTCCCGTATCGCGCTGTGGACTTAAAGAGGCCGAGCGGAGCGCGTATCAGCTTCCAACGCTCAGGATTATGCTGTTTGACTAGACTCATCTGTTTGCTGACAGAACGATCCGAACGTATACAGCTAGGAAATCAAACAGTGTGTAGGAATGTGCGCCGCGTGTGTCAATTCATCATAGAGCTTATTTAGTATTAAAGGTTCCGTCAGGCCCTATGGGAATCGATATGAATTTTTAGCGATTAAGACAAAATTAGTGCTCACAACATTTAAATACCTTTTTGGAGGCATTCAATATCGGAAAATTCATTGAAGGCGGACGCTCGAGTGCTCCCAAAGAAGTCCGAACAAACAGTTTAATTGCAATCCAAACGTCCACTGATATTGCCTATTGCATCTGGTCGGTGCAGATAATAAAACGATACGAAAAAAACAAGTCCGTTGGAACAGAACTTGAAATTACAGCGATCGTTGCATCGAAGGACACAAGATACTGTTTTCTCAGTTCGAGAAAGTATAATATTCCATCTCTCAGCTACCAAGCAGCCTGTTCAGAAACGGTCTCTGGGTGTCAGGTCGGGCTACCAGAAGCCGTGTCGGTAGCGGGCACATGACCGCTCCAATATCGCCCGGTGCAGCCGATATGTCTTCGCTACCGTCCCCGCCCTGAGCGATGGCCGCCCTCCGGTCTGACCCCTGTACCACTGGCGTCTACCGTACGGCTACCACGTGTGCACGTGCTGCTGAGGGCATGGCCATGGGCGTGTCTTTTGTGTTGATGAACCGGGCGTCCTGACATTGCAGAAAATTGACGAAAATACCCTTCTAACCCACAAATCAATTTGGGTTCAACTCCCTTCTCAATTACCGGTATAGAAGCGCAAACTCTTACTCGATTTACATTTTTTGGAGGGGTGACATCGGTCAACGCCCTAGATGAAACATTTCGCACGACCCCGAAACGGTGTCGGTCGCACATCGAATATGGTCCAGTGCGCACGACAGCCTCATTTGAATAAGGCCCACTCGGACTTAGGCAGCGTCCGTCATAAAGTTGGTCATAAAGGTAGCGTCAAATCGCTTTGATTATCAGCACGAGAGCGACAATTCTGCAGTTCAAGACTATGTCCTACGTTCCAGTGATCTTGGTTCAAGGCTGACGAATAAAAAGGCAGCGGCCGCTTCATATCTTGATCCTGACGCCTACCAAGAACGACAAAAGACATCTAACACGAAGTCTTTTGATTCGTAGCTATCGAGAAGGCGCCGACCACGTCCAGATTGGCCAGGATGGGACGGGATCCCACAGGTCACTGACCCGTTCGGGATGTGGTCGAATCACATCGGCAAGTGACCCGATCAATGATGAAGGTAGCCAATCACGAAAGGCGCACAAAGTCGCTGTAAGAGTAGCCTCTCATGTTCGGCAGCAGGCACCGTCCATTTCCAACGGTGCCATATTCTGAATCTGGCTGAGCTGATTCACAGATTCACAAACAACGTTCGCTGACGAACGCCGACAAAATCGACCGCCAACAGCGCCACAGCCAGCCAATCCTTTTTCACTCAGCTGTCAACAATAGCTTCTCTATATTCAATATGATCACTTGTATTGCTGTTCGGGCGGATTCGGTTTCAATAAGCTGAGAGCAGTGACGGCGCGGGCTGCCAATGCCGCAGCACCAGATACAATCGCCTACAATGTAAATAACTGAGACAGCGCGAACAAAGCGGCTTCCGATACCCGTGTTGACACTTCAGTCAAACTTTAGCGCCGCTGTCGGCGCTCGAATCACCGCCAAATCTAGTCAGGGCTCCGTCCCAACTGGCCGAATCAGCCCACGGGCCGTCCGTCTCACAAGTTGGCCGCGGCTGGCAGGCATCATTGTCGATATATAGGACACCCAGAGGAGCCGGACCGTGTCTCAGGCCATCTGATGACGTCACAACACGACTTCTGACGTCATCACGGCAATCATGGCTTCCAAATTCGGCCCAGCCAAATAGTGAGACGGCATAACGGATTTATGTCGCTACTATCACTCTTCAGAAGACGTCGTCAATGGCTGTCGGCGAAGGGCGTCGATACATAGCTGATGCGCATTATTTACAGTCTGACACCGCACCACTCCTGCAGTGGTATCTAATCAGCGGCACGCGGTGGCACGGAAAGGTGTCGTTACTCACACTTCTACGATTTTAGCTGGGTGAAGTAAAGCCTTTGGATAATTTACGAGTTTACCCAAGGAAAAATACCTCAGCGAATTAGCTGATGCAGTGTTTAGTTAAGGCATCTTTGCACGAAAAGGTGAACCTATCTTTAACTAGCTAGTCTGCAGCAAACCCTTCCAAATATTTCAAACGCGCCACCTCACGTGCACCACCAAACGATTTTCCATCAACCAAATGTGTGCCGACATTTGAAGTGAAATTCAATTCCAGCACAAAAAGCACCGCCGCAAAATGTAGCCGCAAAGGTGAAATCAAATAACAACAATAAGATCAAAGCTTTGAACTGTTATCAAACGAAAAAAATATTCACTCCACCGCAAGAATCGAACCCACGACTACCGCTCCGACTTTCACTGACCTGCCGACGGCGCGTCGACGCTGACCACTTCTGTGGCGGCGGACGGGGGTGGCAGCGTGTCCTCGATCGGCACAGGAATGTGCGCGCTGGTGGGCGGCACCACACTGTCCGCCTCTGAAACAGTGCACCGACAATCAGAACGGGACAGCAGAGTCTCTAAAATAGCACACAGACAGTCAGAACGAGGGCAGTGAGAGATGGGTTAACGACGGGGAAACGACGGAAACGGGTCAAAAAAAAAAAACCCGGAACGGTTTGTGATGAAGCATAGCACAGGGACAGAAAAAAGACGGAAGGAGGGTTTATATGAAAAAAATGACGGGCCGCTACCACGCGCCGCGTTATGCTTTAGATGACGGCCGTTAGACGAGACGATTGTAGCGTAACATTTGCAAACACGGCTTTAGGACAGCATTTCAGAGATAGAGCAGACGTGTTAGGGGTCCCACTGCCCGGTTTAGCACACATAAAACGACGGTCAAAGAGAGGCACGGCACGTAAAAACCAGTGGAACGACGCTTCGGGCGCCAGGTAAACTGGGAGAGAGCGGCAGGTAAACGGGGAGAGAGCGGCGCTGAAATCCGTGCGAAAGGGCGCGGGACACTGTCTGCTCAGGAGACAGGCAAAGAGAAACGAGCCAGAGAAGTCGGTCAAAACGACCGGCCGGCAGTCAGCGACAGTCCGACCGTACAACTGCGGGACTGGTACGAAGATGGGTCGCAGCACTTTGACAATGGCCGAGACAACTTCTTTCGGAAAAGGCGGACTGTTAACATTTCCACATCGTGGCGTGTCCATCCGGACAGGTTTAGAGGGACAACTTTTCTCTCAAGTCTCCCGCGACAGTGACGGACATAGGACAAAACAGTCACAATGCTACTACCGAAAACACATCAGTTTGTTAGCTCTACATACTAGCTAAATGTACATTCTATAATCAAGCATCCTCTAGTTCAGTGGTCGGCAGGTCCTCCGGGGTCGTGCCCCCTTTTTTGGCGCCAGGCAGCGCCATTACCCCCACCTGCCAGATCCCATTGGTGATATAACCATGGTTACTAAAATTCCATACTTTTCCGCGACTCTTTGGGTACCATATCTGCGAGAAACCACAGGCTCCCCCCCCCCCCTGCGGTTTCTCGCAAATATCTCAAAAAAAGTTGAGCGCCACCATTTTGTCACATTTTGTCATGCATTTTGTCTGCACATGTTGTGAAAATTTCAGACCAAAGTCGCTCAAAGTCAGGTCACCAGATCACGTCAAGTGACCTCACCTCAGTAAAGACTGTAACGCCTGTTGTAGCTACACAGAGTAACAGATCTCTTTCAAACTTTCAGGAATTGACAAAGGCAACAAAACATGTACAAAATTTGTATCTCGGATATTTGATGTAGGTGACCAAAGGTCAGCTCACTTTCACGCCCTCTCTCGTTATCAATGGGAGAGGTCGCAAAGTCAATGGTAGAAATTGAAAGACGCCTCTTTTGGATGAGTGTCATTCCTAGCACTGTGAAGCACTGAATCACAAGTTAAACATGACCACTGAGCCGGAAAACTGCACCCGTAACCCCGCTGTATGTCCCTGAGGTCATTCCAGGTCGTGAACGGTATCTTATAGTTTTTCGCCAATAACTTTTGATAAAGGCATGCCAGAGCGATGAAAATACCTTAGATGTGTTTAGCATTTTCTTTCAGCATTTTGCGAAATGCCTAGGCAATTTGCAAACTGCCTGACCCACCAAAGGTCAGCTCACTTTCACGCCCTCTCTCGTTATCAATGGGAGAGGTCGCAAAGTCAATGGTAGAAATTGAAAGACGCCTCTTTTGGATGAGTGTCATTCCTAGCACTGTGAAGCACTGAATCACAAGTTAAACATGACCACTGAGCCGGAAAACTGCACCCGTAACCCCGCTGTATGTCCCTGAGGTCATTCCAGGTCGTGAACGGTATCTTATAGTTTTTCGCCAATAACTTTTGATAAAGGCATGCCAGAGCGATGAAAATACCTTAGATGTGTTTAGCTCGACGACACGGATCACCTGATGTGCAAAAAGACCTTCGATGCTTCTCGACGGGGGGAGCACGATGCTGATAATAGTGAGCTCTTGCAAGTTCTGAGTGAAACGCTACTAAAGAAAAACTATCAGCAAACAACGTACATTTTATCAGCAAACAACGTACATTTTAGCCATTTTTGTCTCCGCAGGCTAAATCGTTATTCTTAGGTTAAATCTGAGGGCGTCATCAGAAAAAAAACGTTAAGAGAGCTATCGAATGCGTTTTTCCGCAGCTCTGTAGCTCTATCCTTTCCTGAGCTATAGCCCAGTTTGTCGAAAATTGTCAAAGGTTGACCTGGAAATTGGCGAAATTTTACGTTCGATGACCTCTGGTGAGCTGACCTTTGACTTGGCCTAAAAAGTGGCCATAGTTTTCCTTCATCATGTCTTACTCTCTTTCAAACGCCGACTACGGCGTTTCGCTAGTGACCCAGGCGCCAAATTAGTAGGCTGTAGGGGGGAGGGGGATCAACTTCCACCTCCAGCAGGGCGTGGATACCCAGGAGCCCCATCAGGGCGCGGGTTAACCCCCATACGAATAGGGGTAGCGTGTATTTTTCGGGAATAGATCACGTTAAAAGGGTCAGATCATAAAAACTGTACCCTCGAGCCGATCATTTTTATCTGTCCTGAAAATGGCATGACCTTAACCCGAATAACCGTTGATTTGTGAGATCTTTCTTGAGATCATGGCAGTCCACAAAATCTCACTTCAAGAAGTTACAGCAAGAGCCGATTTACTCGGGATTTGTCATTGACCTCTGGAAGGTCACCAAATGACCAAGGACCTTTAAATTGGGTAGCAGCGGCTGCCTATCTTCACGGGCAGCACGCTCAATTTTTCTGCAAAGCTCCAGCTCAGAGGCCGAGATGCACGGGTCAGGGTGCAATGGACAACTCCTCTCCCTTGCTTTAGTGACTGTGAAAACGCCAACAGGCGAGCGCCGGCCAATACATGACAGTTACTTTCCACGGCTGTACGGAATGGTGAGCAGCTATGTACATTAAAATTGGCATGCGCCAGCTGATCAGTTCATGCTTTGTGCGTTTGCCCTCGACTAATTTTTGAATCCTGGGGCACAACAGTTGCGATGTCTGTCCCATCAAGAGAGCCATTAATTCTAAAAAAGATGAGGCTTTCTCAGAGGCCCTCATTACCCCCCGCCGAAGGGCGCCATTACCCCCAAAGGGGGCATGCCCCACCATTTGCCGACCCCTGCTCTAGTTGAATTCACACCGCTCGGTAGCTCACGCACTCCCAGTCTGTCACCATCGCGTTGCCACACCCAGCAGGACGCGTTCGGCGGCGAGGAAACACACGCCAGCGCGACCAGAAAAACGCACTCAGAGCGCCAACGAGCCAACGAGACAAACCCTGTTACGGTCCAGCCGCCAGCTCGTTACCACATACTGAGGACGACGACAAACACATCCGAGGCTCTGGCCGGCAGAACAGGCCTTTCTCGACCTTCCAGCGTGCCTGTACCCCTCGCAAAGCTGTCGTATTCAGTCCACTAACGCAGCGCCTGCGGTCCCCCACCCCTGCAGGGTAGGTCCCACCCTCCCCGCATCCCTGCACGTCGCGCGCGGGCCGCCCGCGCCGCCGACTCCAATTTACGATCGGATGGCGTTTTATTCATCGACGGCGCCAGCATATTCGGCGTCGCCGGTCCGAAAGGTCAGGCCGGCCGCGCCGCGTGCCAGCGCCGATAAGCGCCGCCGGTCGCGGCGCCGCCGCTGGGGAGCTGGCCGGTGATGCGATGCATAGGATTGACTGACGGATGACGGTTCAAGTCGCCCGAAGATACGAGCTTTCCGGCCGCGGGGTGACAGGCTTCGGTCGTTCACTGCAGCGCAGAGGTCAAAGGTAGCACGGGTAATGATTTTGGAGAGTCTCGGTTCGTGTTCGGACAAAGTTCGTCACAGGTCACAATCGGTAAACATGAGCTACAATCGCCGAGCTTTTGAACGGTGATTATTTCTGCACTAAATGCATGCAATCAGAAGTCAGAAACCACTTCACGTCTTGAGCACAACCCAGAATCAATGCACAGTTTTCAACGGTCGTGGCAGTGCATCAACGTCAGTAGAAAGCGTTTCATAATGGACACGGTGCGCGACCCAACACAACACTATCTTTAACGCCACACTTAATCCTCTCAAACACTTAAAACTGCAGCGGCGATAACACGGCAAATAAATCCCCTTATCGGGATCTGGTGCCGCACGAGTTTCGCGCTGGCAACAGCGTTGGCAGCGCTCTGTTTTCGCCCCTCCCCTCCCCTACACTCGGAGAGAGGGGACGGGGAGAGAGCCGTGAGGCGGACAGAGCGGCGCTCGCTTGCGTGAAAGCTGCTACCGTTAGCCATCATTACCATTGACGCTGGCACGCGAGACAGCCGACCGCCGCGCCGTGCCGGCGACTCTCTCCCCACTGGCGTCAATGGGCGCATCGGTAGCGCGCCCGGCAGACTCGCAGATTAATTGGTTCGCCACACCGGCAGCGGATTGTCCGCGGCACAAAAAGGCACATCAGGCTCAGTTCGGAATAGCGTTTGTACAGCAAACGCGATATGCGTTTACACAGGAAACGTGATATCTTTACATATCAGCTTTGTATCGAAAATAAACCAGACCTGCCGCCACTAACACCGCAAAAGATCACGCGACAAAACATAACGAACACGACATCTTGAGCGAACATAGCGCGACCTCATCCTCCACCACTCTAATCACACTGAGATACAACAGTGCTGGCGGCAACGCTAGCACAAACACCAGGACCGCATCGGAGGTCACACGGCCTGCCAGAAGTCTGTCCTTTTTTGGGGCGCGATGTCGCGCCGTGCGATGACTGTTTTTGCTGCCGAGAATGACACATTTGTCTCAGTTGTCTCGCCGGACACAGAGATCTGGCGCGGCGCGTGATGGCCCACACAAAGACGGGGAAAACGAGGCAGAGCCCGACCTGCACACGCCGCGTGGTCACCGGAACAGATGGTCGACTTTTAGGGTAGAGGTAACAGGCGACATACGTTTTTGTATCATTCCCCGTGCCAGCATCCCGCTGTTGAGTCTCTGCGTGTAACTGCCGTCACTAATTGTGAGTGAATAAGCATTACCCGCCGGCGCTTTGAAGTTTTACCGAAACACGGAAGTTATTGGGATGTTGTTAGATCGGCGCAGATCAGGTCGACGTGACCCGATGCCTTGACAAATACACCGTTCCATCCACACATGTACCTTAAACAGGTCAAGCAGCACATGGTCTCCTTCTACAGCAAATTTCACAGGTCCCTTCCACCTCAACCCTCACTGGCTTCCTCATAACTCATAAATCCCTACCATCTTTACCACCGCACCCCTCACTGAATCCCTCCCTCACCACACATCCGCCCCGCCCAGCAGCATCCCGCCACTCACCGGGTGAAGGCACATCCCGCTCGCCGTTAGCGGAGTCAGTCACCAGGTGTGTCGGCGCCACCGGCTCGCCCGTGCATTTCTTCTTCAGTAGCTTGTGACACTTTTTATGGATGAGCAGCTTACACTGGGTGCACTTGAAGCCCTGCCGTCCCAGGCCCCAAATCCGGTCTTGGCAGTAGGCACAGGCGGCGCTCTGTCAAAAAAGGTGTGTTTTGTAAGGATCATGGAAAAGCAGCGCAACAAGAGGTTGGAGAGACGTATTGGCATAAGGGCAGTTTAGAAAGCAGATGAAATAACTGGAATAAATACAGTCATACGCCACAGTCATAACGAGACGCCTCGAAGGACCAGCCAATGCAGATCAGGACCGTCGCCACGCCACGCTTTAGCGCGGGTGGCGCGGCGGCCGGTGGTAGACTGTCCCGCCTTACATGCCGGTACTGCGGTACAGTCTACCAGTCCAGTCACCGCCTTCTCCGCACCGTGTGCGCTGTGCCTCAGTGCACCGAACACAATGACAAGACAGGCGCGGAGACATCAACGCATGAGTGCCGCGTGTTTCTGTCTCTGTGTCTGTGCAGTGTGGACTAGTATAAAGTAAGCAGCAGTAGTTATCACCCATCTCCCGACTCCCACCCAATTTAAAATCGACATACCACCCTGCAGTCTCAGTTTACTCACACATGCAGAGTGAACATCGAGTAGTATCTTCGTTATTACATATCATTTCATTTTATTTTGTTGAAATGATAGTGCATTTATCCTTTACTCTTTCTACGGTGTAAGAGCATAAGGTTATTTCCAACACGGCTTATCTCCATGGCAATTTTTCATTTAGTCCCTACAAATGCGGGCGCCATTTTTGTCGCGCGATATCCAACCACCTTCGTTCACGCCCACCCCTTCATCCCAAATTCCTGCGGCGTGGGCTCGGTCGTCTGGTCGCCCACCACACCGTTTCAGCACGAGCTGGTTACCAGGGGAGCGGCGCCTGCCAGCGCCGACCGGCGCCCTCCCACGACCAGTCGGCTAATTGGTGAATGGTTCCGCACCACCCACCGGTGAGCAGCGCTACGCCCCAGCACCGCCGGCGCGGCGTCTGCCCGCAGCGGGGACACGTCTGCCGCAGTGACTCGGAATGGCACCTCTCCAGACCCCCGCCAGTTGGCCCACCAGACACATGGCCCCATCGGGGAAAAATCATAAAAGGCAGACGAGAGGGGATGCGAGAGCCTGCCGTTTGGATTTTCTTCAGATCAATCCCAATACAAAAATGTAGATAACATCGCGAAATTATTCTAGTAGCAAAAGTCGGCACAAGTTAATTTCCTCGTGCATGATCGGCTCATAAGCTATGGACACACCAGCACCGCAGACCATGCGATTTTCATGAGCCCGTCTGGCAGTTTGTGTCGATTTTTCCGCCACCGTCGGCGGTGCCGGGATGCGGAGCTGGCGCCGACTCGGCACCGGCCGTCTCCATTATTCATTGGCCGGCGGTGTGCGGACCGGTCGGACGGTCGGCCGCCGACACTGAATGGAATCTATAATGTAATATGTGGCGCTGGCCGCCGCTGGTGACCGGTGACCGCGGTGATTGTCACCACCGGCCAGATGACCCGGTGATGACCGCCGGCCGGCAGGGGGTAGGTGCCGGCGGTATCGTCCGTGCCGCGCCAGACGGCCGGGTGGACGGACAGACGCCCAGGACAGGCGGTAGGGTGCCGGTGATATGGCCCGTGGGTCGCGACGGGCAGACAGTAATAATGGAGCAGCCGCCACCGCCGATCGCTTCCATCCTTCAGGTGACGATAGATACTAGATACACGATTTGATTAGATGGACTCCAGAATGAATAGATAGACAGGGGTTCCGAGGCGAGACAGCGCCGCTCCAAAACGTCTCTGCGCTCTCATAAAGAGCAAAGGAATGTTGTTCACCATAGCGCTTCAATGCGCATTGCGCAGCACCTCTAAATTTATCCCAACAAATAGAAAGTGTAGTCACAATTGATAACAACGCAGAATTAGACGAAAATTATCAAAAATAAACCACTTTGCATTGATGCACTATGGTGCCATGGTTGAATGTCCTATCCGGTATGCAAAGAACCGACATGTATTATGTAGTGCACTCGGTACGTAAGGCAGTGTATCCTGGTACCCCGGCCAGTACACCGAGTACCCTGGCACACCGGCCAGTACGCTGAGTACCCCAGTACCCGGGCCAGTACGCTGTGTACCCTGGTTTACCCCGCCGCCGGCACGGCACCATCGATCGTCGGAGCAGCGAAGAGCTCAGCTGACGGCCCGCCGTCGGCCGCTCAGCCGCCGCGCCGCCCGCGGGGACATACCGGGTCAGAGGTCATATGTCGCGGTCAGAGGTTACCGGACCCCATCAGAGGTCACCTGTCGCGGTCAGAGGTTACCGGACCCCATCAGAGGTCACCTGTCGCGGTCAGAGGTCACCTGAACCCGTCAGAGGTCACCTGAATCGGTCAGAGGTCACCGGACCCGGTTAGGGTCACCTGCCCTGTCATAGGTCACCCCTCTCGGTCAAAGGTCATCTCTCCCGGTCAAAGGTCATCTCTCCCGGTCAAAGGTCACCTTTTCCGGATAGGGGTCACAAGTATCGGTCAGAGGCCATCTGCTTTGGTCAGAGGTCATCTTTCCAGTCAGAGGTCACCTATCGCGGTCAAAGGTCACCTTTCCGGTCAGAAGTCACCTGCCCTGGCCAGAGGTCACCTGTCTCGGTTAGAGGTCACCGCAGTCCTCACAAGGTGCCTGGTCGAGTGTGACTGCGCGGTGTGACATTTCAGCAATTGGTTTCAAAAATTACTCAGCATCATATAATTCGTCTCTATTGCCTTCTTAACTCTTCTATCCTGTTCTTTTCTGTCGTCCTCGTCAGCTGCACCCCCTTCCTGGGCCGCAGTTCGGTCACTTCCTCGTGCCAGGGTCTGCCCCGACCGTGGCAGATCGGGCGGGGACGGGCGGAGGGGAGGGAGGGCCCTGGGTACATCATCACTCGCCGGCCGGCACGCGCTAACAAGGGGGCGGGACGCCGGCCAATCGGCCCGGATAATGGTCGCCAATGGCGGAAAATTAGCCGGAATCACCGCCAAACGTGCCCAGCGCGTCGCCGAGGAGCCAAAAATGCGCGCGACATGGCTGCCAGCAGACCTTTATAGTTTGCACCCGATCATCAGCAGCGATTCCAAGAGCGATTCGCGCGGCGCAGTAATGGCCTGCATGGGGTAAAATCAAACAAATTTCGACACGGAATGATACCCCAAACAATGAAGCCACGAATATCCTCAAGGAAGGAAAGGAAATAAATTACCTTATTTACGCTAAGAAAATAAGGACTCATAAAGCATGCTATGCTTACCAAGCATATTATGCAACAACATAAAATAATGACGGGATAAATCAGACCATAATCGAGAGCAAAAAAGGTTCGATGAAGCAGCCAATATACCCAAGTGATTTCAAATGCCTTAAACGATTATTTTGGTGGCAATGATGGAGCGTTCTTCGAATGTCTGCAATAGAACGAAGGTCACGTTACTTCCATAAATTTAAATGATGAAAGTATCATACAAAATGCATGGCTTTTCGTTTGCTTCCGAAGATTGATGAGAAGTTTCCAGACGCCTAAATATACTGCCCTTGACTGCCAGTTATTTATGCGGAAACTTTTGATGAATTTAACGGCACCGCTTAGTGTATATCATGATCCACTTTATGCATCCAATGCAGCCAGAAGTCTCACATATCGGCCCGTATTGTATCGCTCTCGATCACTGCGTCTTTCTATGCGGTGACCTGACTGCACCTGCCGCCGGCCGGTTCACATGGTCCACGCCAAAACAGTGGCCCGGGCGGCATGTCGCGGCAATGTCTCGCCAATCAATAACTGGCCCGGAGGCACGCCGCCACCTGGACCGGCCACTTTGAGTCGGTGCGGCCCCCAGCAAGTATGATGGATTGACGGGTATCGTGAGAATGGCACATCACTCGTACCCCCCCCCCCCCACTTCCACGCAGCTTAGCTCTGACGTCATTGGTACCTAGAGGGGGGGGGGGTGACAGCTGGGTGCAAAGTCCGCACAGCAGCAAGCAGGAACTGGAGCGCAGTATCCTCAAAATAAAAGATTCCGGGCAACTTCATCAAACATTATTGTCCTGCATTTCAGCAGGAACGAATATCGAACTTTTTAAGTTTTCATTTCGAAATGCCTCTGTTTTTACTTAGAGTCGCTGTGCCGACATTTCAATCTTCAGTTCAGTAGCACTCACCCGGTTGAAGCGTTTCGCCTGGAAGATATGGCCATTGACCTTGTACAGTTTCCTCCATCGCCGGGCGCCGCGCCGATATATGCTTCCTGGGGGACAGAGCGAGGGCGGCGTCACCACTGGGTAACCGGAGTGGGCTGGAAGGGGGCGGGGTACACGGCAGTACAGACGCACACATGGGGAGTGCACAGACTGCACAGAGCTGACTGAAGCAGGCGACGTGACAAGACACCAATGAGCCGCCTCGGCTGAACCCTACACAGCACCACACCCTCGCGATGCCGGCGGCAGTGAGTGTTGCAGCTCAGAAGCCCTCCGACCCGCCCAGGGCCATCCATTTCACTGCCGCCAGTCGGACGAGCCCTGCGGCTGGTTCGTATGCGGCGCCGATGAGCGCCGCATATGCCGCCGACGCCACGGCGACAAACAAGACGCACTCGAATACCGATCAGAGGCCATCAGTAATATGGAGGGAGGAAAGCGGCTGCTGGGGTGAGCGGGGTTCCTGATCGAGTCTGGTACACGGGTCACGGTCAAAGGGTCACACAGGGTCAGAGGGACGGGTGGCTGAGCCGGAAACTTCGTGTGTAGTTTTATTTGAGGGATACTATATTCATACTTCTAATTTGATGGTTTGCATGACTATTTTAAGAATATTTCACTTGCAAAATTACCACGTAAGTCAAATTACGATGCTACGATTACAGCGGCATGCCCGCTACTAAAAATACCAAGTTGATATGCGCCGCACCCCGAACATCTTGTGAACATTTTCGCTGTACCTGTTTTGCAGCCGGGATAAGTTATTGTTCGGTGGCAGATATGAGGCGGGCCAAGCTCATAAAGGCTCGATGTCATCCCCAACTAGGCGAGCTCTATGCATAAATAGAGGCCATTTTCTGTAGCGGAAGAGGCCAATTCGCCTGCCAACAGCAGCCCAGAGACCCCGTTTAGTCGCCGTTAGTAGCTAAATCACAGGGAGAGACATATGAAAACAAAGTTATTCTTAAGTGAAGGAAGGTACTATAATGCATTAATGTGGCGACAGCGTTACTGAGGTACATGCACTGTAAAAAGCTCAAACTCAGAAAAAGTATCTATTGAGCTAAACCGATCATCGCTATAGAACAGCTCACTTTTTATCAATCCCTGCACGAACTGTCACCTGCAGAATTGACGCATATGTTCTGTCACAAAATATCTTCCAAGTTAATGCACTTCTTGCACGCAACAGCACGGACGTCAAAACTGCCTAACGACCAGCCCCAACTTGGACGACATAAAAGCATTCCTGACCTGAATGGTGAAAACGCTATTAACAGCAAAGAAACACCACAAACACGACCTCGCGTGAACGCTCGTTTTCCACACGATATCGTCATTATTGACAGCAGCTTTTGGGGCGGCAAGGCGGCATTCGCGCACTCCTCGGGGAAATGTTCTCCCCTATGTTGATTGAGTTTCATGACAGCCCCCGCTGACGGCCGGACTATACCATTTTTAGTGCACTCGGCCGAGCCAGGGCTGACCTTTCCAGCGAACGCCAGCTGCCGTTATCCTACCACCTGCTCGACGTGCATAGCACAAATACGGCCATGTGTGACGCACATTCAAGCGGCCAAAATCAATCACACAATCAATCAGCAAAGTTCGAGCAGTTCACGAAACAGCTAATCGATGAACCAACAGCAGAATTATAGTAAACCTATCGTTTTTATAGTAAGCCTTGTGATGGGGTTCGCTTGTCGGCCCGTGAGATCAGGAAAAATGTCGCTTTTTCAAGTAATTCCTTTCCAAAAGCTTAGAAGTCATTCCAAACTTCAAAAGTCAGTTTTATCCGGAAGCCGGCGTCGCTGACTTATGGGCTATGAGAGCATCAGGAACTTCTCATGCGACCCGCAGAAAAGGCAAGCGTACGCAGCACACTCAGACGAGAATCGTTACCAAAACGCGATATCACTTCTCTAAAAGAACTTAAACCAGCAACCTTATTTACCTTCTCTTTGTCCCTTCCTGGGAAGACTATCGTGTCCGATAGTTCACCCTTGAAATAAAAAAAAAACTAATAAGAAAAATGCAATGTGAACACCCCGCCGCCAACGAACCTCCTCCCCCCCCCCCCCCCCCCCAGCCACATCTTCCACCAGTGAGACACCTCTGGTCGATCGCCGGACAGGCCGACCCGGCAGCCGCTCGGTACCGAGACTAGCTGACGGTGCGCCACTGAGCCTGACACGACGCCAGGCCGGGCCGGCCGCCACTGAACTTTGTAAAGGTCACCGTCTGTGGCCGCGACGTGAGAGACCGCGCCGGCTGACCCCAGAGTCGCTCACGGGCCGGGGCCGGATTGCCGGAGCGGTCAGGGAGGAACGGACACCGCCGCACGCGACAGGAGCAGGCAATGTCGATGTAGATGAGAGTGCTCGCGGTCGTCAGGATAAGACGTATGAACGTGAATACAAGAAAGACACGTTATACTGAGACGACGACAGGGGGAGAGAGCACGGGCCAGAAAGATAAGGGTGAACTTTTCAGCTGCCAGCTGCATTCTTAGTATGCATTGCGGCACAAGGAAGTAGTCCTTTGTAAACGTCGCGAACCAGACAAAAGGTCGGTGGGGGTTTACCGGGGGAGTTCAGCGACGTAATCAGATTGCAGTTCAGTGAGCCGTTGCTTCCTCTATTTGCAATCATCTGAATATTCACAGAGCGACTTCCGACATTTTCTGAACTCCGTCTTATTTCGCCTTTCTCCGAGTGCGTCGCCAGTTGCAGGCGCGTATTGGAGCATCGAGCAGCAGTTGCAGCAGCCAAACGCCCCAGAGTGGCGAGAGAGAGGAAGAGAGGGAGGGAGAGAAAGAGAGAGGGAGAGGGAGAGGAAGAGGAAGAGGGAGAGGGAGAGGGAGAGGGAGAGGGAGAGGGAGAGGGAGAGGGAGAGGGAGAGGGTGAGGGAGAGGGAGAGGGAGAGAAAGAGGGGGAGGGAGAGGGAGGTAGAGATAAAGAGGGAGAGGGAAAGGGAGAGGGAGGTAGAGATAAAGAGGGAGAGGGAAAGGGAGAGGGAGGTAGAGATAAAGAATAACAGGAGGCGCTACATTATACAAATACATGTCCAGTTTCAGCTGATGGTCAAAGCATCCCAATAGGTTTTATAGGAAGCGCATTGCTAAGCAAGACCTTTTCCATTGAATATCTCTAAAAAAATAATGTTACCTTCTTCGAATGATAAGCATTATAATTCATCTAAATCACACGCTTGCATTGTAAAAATCATCTGTGCCGGCATAATTATCATGCCCAAAGTGAGTTTCACTCGACTTGTTTTCCCGCCACAGACAATCAATATTTCCAGCTCGCCTTCGGCGTAGCCCCATAGCGCCTCGGGCTCGGACCAACGCCAAAGTAACTCCCTCCATCAAAGCATCATCTATTCTGATGGCCATTCGGCTTTCAACGTCAAATCTAGAATCATCAGCCATAAGCGATGGCCCGGCGGCACTTAAGTACTTCGTCCGCCGCAACTGTCACCTCCGCTTTCAGCTACTGGGCGCCCCAGTTCGCCCGACCGCCACCCAATCTCAAACCCATCACAGATTCCCGCGGATTATCGAGTTTCGATTGAATTTTTACAAAAGAGCTTATCTTAAAATACTACAAAAAACGCTCCGAGCCAAATGTGAGCTCTCATTTGAAACAGCTCCGGGTCTTACACTAATGGGCGCCATTGTTCTCTCTCGCGCGGGCGGCATTCGCGATAGAAAATCAATCGGCGCCGAAATCTCAGTGAACTCCTGCCGACTGGGAGGCAAACAGAGCCGCTAACAACCCGGAGCTCGCACTCGGCCCGGCCCTCCTCCTCGCCAAACTTCACTAAGCGCATCTCTCGCCTGGCTATCCTTTTCGAGTTGCGGAGCGCCGCGGCGGACGAGTGCCCGGACCGGCCACAGAGGGTGGGAGGGGTGGGAGCGGGGCGGGGAACGGAAGACCGGCAGCGTGTGGAAGGAGGGGAGGGGGAGAGGCGCCGGGCCACATGCGGAACTTTATATACCGTGGCGGTTGTAGCTACAACCCCAATTTTTAAAAGTACAACCCCAATGGCAAAACTACAACCCCAACATTGGAAAATTAAGAATTAGCCTGAAACACATGAAAATGAACAAAATATGTATCCCCACAGAAGCAGATAATTGAGATATATCAAGAAAGTGAAGATATCAATAAATTAGGACATCTTTTTGAATTCCAGATGCTAAAAACATTGAAAGTGCTCTGTTAAGAACATATTATTCCGCTGAGACAGTGAGCAGAGCATGATATGAAAGTCAATCACTTCACACTTCTTAAGCATACTAAGTGAATCATATTGAAAGTGTTCCAAAAAATATTAACATGTAACATGAAAGTGTGAAGCAAAAAAAAATCATAACATTCATCATACTTTTGCAGTGGCGAATCCAGCTCAGAGTTTGGGGGGGGGGGGGCAAACCATAACAATTTATCGATTCTTTCCATGCCTCGTCCATAGGCGTAATATTAAAATTATGCCGTTTGGGAGGGGCAAATGCCCATTTTGCCCCCCCCCCCTGGATCCTGATCCGCCACTGTACTTTGGGGTTTTCTCACTAAATATTTCATACCTGTGGGTTGTGCTTATCAAAGAGATAAGCATAGATGAAAAGTTTGACACAAAACAGTAAGCTTCAGAAATAAATTAACCTAACCTAAGCCTCCACCCTGTGTAGCATTCAATCACCATAGTTAATCATAATATCAAATACATTTTTTAAGTGAAATATCACTCTGTTCGCAATTTTGTCAGTTGGCGCAATACCACCAATCAGCACGAATAATATTTGGCTAAAATGACGACACTTGAAATCAACGTTGACGACCATAAAAAGTAAACACCAATCCTGTGCGATAATTAGTGCTGATAATCTTTACTGACAGGTTCGCGAACAGAATGCAAACGATGCAAACTAAGTCACATGCACGTCACATGTAAGCCAGCATGACGCATTTGATACAAATGCAAGGTTTTGGCGACGTCTGTCAAATCAGCAGCAACGAATATCAGCCTCACAGCAGCATATTTCGGGGTCTTTCGATTTGGCTGAAAATCGGTATCCAGGGCCTCCTCGATGCGCTGATTCCGAAAATATGCCTCTTTGGGGTGGTATTTTGCACCGTTAACGAGTTAATGACCAATTAACATCTTAACGGGAAACGGCGGGGTCTTTCGATTTAGCTGAAAATCGGTGTACAGGGCCTCCTCGATTCGCTGATTCCGAAAATGTACCTTTTTGGGGTGGTATTTTGTACCGTAACCGAGTTAACGACCAATTAACATTTTAATGGGAAACGGCGGGTTCTTTCGATTTAGCTGAAAATCGGTATACAGGGCCTCCTTGATCCGCTGATTCCGAAAATGTACCTCTTTGGGGCAGTATTTTGCACCGTTAACGAGTTAACGGCTAATTAACATTTTAACCGGAAACGGCGGGGTCTTTCGATTTAGCTGAAAATTGGTATACAGGACCTGTTTGATGCGCTGATTCCGAAAATGTACTTCTTTGAGGCAGTATTTTGCACCGTTAACGAGCTAACGACCAATTAACATTCTAACGGGAAACGGCGGCGTCTTTCGATTTGGCTGAAAATCGGTATACAGGGCCTCCTCGATGCGCTGATTCCGAAAATGCACCTCTTTGTGGTGGTATTTTGCACCGTTAACGAGTTAACGACCAATTAACATTTTAATGGAAAACGGCGGGGTCTTTCGATTTAGCTGAAAATCGGTATGCAGGGCCTCCTCGATGCGCTGATTCCGAAAATGTACCTCTTTGGGGTGGTATTTTGCACCGTTAACGAATTAACGGCCAACTAACATTTTAACGGTAAACGGCGGGGTCTTTCGATTTAGCTGAAAATCGGTGACGTTCAGTGTCTCAGGGGCACACAAACAAGCCGCTATGTGTTCCTAGCCATCGTGGCTGTGAAGAGTATGCGTTTTGTTTACGATTCGCCAAACAATGCATAATACATTTGCTCGTTGAAAAAAAGAAGATCATCTAGTTAATTGAAGTATTCGGTGATATGAAAAGGCTGTGGCATTTATTATTTAGTTTCCTCAGGTTGAGATAATTTAGATCCAGTGTTATGTTCCTTTGCGGCATTGTGTTCGGTATGTTGTCCTCGTTTGCAAAATATCTCATGTCTGATCAGTCACTATTCCGGTTTATACTACCCGTTTCCGTAATAGACGTATTCCAGACGACAGTGGCATTAATATACAAAGATGGACTCGTTTTAAGTTTTTTAGTCTAAAAATAACGTATCCCTGTTTAGGTCTTCGTTGTCAATTGCCACGAGTGGCTTAAATTGTTACTCGTAGGGAAAGAGCCCTGCTCCAATACTGAGTAATGTTTGTGTCAAATGTGGAAAGAAACAAGTATTCATAGGGACTGTGATTTTGGGCGTTTACCTACCGTTTCCGAATCGCCACGACCAGTACCTAGCGGCGGAACACCCTCAATTAAGGGGGGCACTGTCGACTTTTGATCCCATTCTTTCCATGCAACGCCCATAGGGCTAATGTTTAAATGCCAAAATCAAAGGGGGCACGGTTCCCCGGTGCCCTCCCCGTTCCGCCGCCTATGGCCACGACCATGGTGGCGACTGGCGATACCCGAGTACCTACAACCAGGCACATAGTCAATGGAGGGACGACAGGGTCAGCCGTCTCTCCCTGGAGATGGACCACTTTTATTTTTTTTTATTTTTTTTTGTAAATGAAAATGTGGGCCCCTCCCGAAAAATAGTGGGCCGAATCCGGGGACTTTTCGGGTTTTGGTGGGGTATACCCTGGGCTCCGGCAAACTACAACCCCAATGAAAAACAAAAAGTTCCACCTCTGCGCCGGGCGGCAAAGGCAAAGGCCAACCTGCTCACAAGGAGCTGTGTGCCTATCCGTCTTTTATCACGTGTAAAGAAAATGCATCTCTTCTGAGTCTGATCAGTACACCCGTTGTGAATTCCCACTCTCCCTTTACGCAAGGCCCTCCTGGCATCACGGCCTGGACCACACGAGACCCGAACCCGTCCCTTCGCGACAGCGACCATTCGCCAACCATTCCTCCGCGACCCCCCCCCCTCTCCCCCCGGCCCGTCCGCCGTCGTCTGCCGCCACCGTCGCCTCGTCGCGGCCTGCGTTATGCATGGACTCGTTGACGGTCCCAACGAGGTCAGCCGAGAGCCAATATAGAGGCAGACGATTATTACGGGACGGCATCGCCCAGACACCCCCGGCGCCCGGTTATAGAGCACCGGCCGCCCGGCCGCAGGGGGCTTCTCTCGCATGAAAGAATCCTGTGGTAAGTTGGTGAAAGGAGGATATTAACAGCTCCTTTGCTTATAAATTGAAAAGATAAAGGCTATAATATTTTCCCAGAATCACAGACCTAACAAAACTTCAAAGTTTGGCACTGAATTTGGATAATCTAACGATTGCTTGAGGCAGCGACTGAAGCACCAACCACCTCTGCAAGGTGCTCCTACCAGTCGCTCCCGGGATCAGCTTTTAACCGTAGCTGCTACCGGCCGCTACTGACATCACACGAGCAGCGTTTGTGTAAGTACTTACGGTCTTCACCGGCGCATGGCATCCCCGGGGCGGGCGGCACACCGGGAAACACTGCAACAAAGAATAAATGGGAGTTAGCTAACTCGAAACAGACCTAGGCCACACACCGGCAAACACTGCAACACAGAACAAAGAGGGGCGTCAGTTAACAGGCAGCACAGAGCGGATTCTTGAATAGAGGGTATCAGCAAGCTACAGCGCTGGCACAGGGGGAAGGTTAGCATCGGCGCTGACGCAGGGGAGGATCAGCCCCGGTGCTGGCGCCGGGCGGAACACAACAGGCGCCAAAACAGACACGAGACCGCGTAACGTCACGGACGTCAGCCCAAGGCAGACCGTGATAACAGGGAACGGCGGCGCCGTCGACACGCACAGCGAACACGTCACCCGAGAATACAACATAATACAATGGACTGGCGGCAGAGGGAACGCGAACAGAGAACTGAGGAATAAATATAATTCCGTAACATCAAAGCTTGGCGACTCAGCTGCAGTTCAGTCAAGAAAGAAGCAAGAAATACCAAGCAATCTAGTAAGACTCGGCATTTATACAGGGTGATTTTTTTTACTTGTTAAAAAGTAATGAGGTCTAGTTGCGTTAAAATGCAAATATATATTGCAAAATTATATACCAGGATGACGAGCATTCTGGGACATTTTGATTTCATGCAGACACGATGTGAAGGAACGTCTATCGTGTATTTTAATTGTGCTTGAAGTTACCCCCTCTCTCACCGACACGAATCAGCCCGCCTGAGCACGTGTTGAACAGCACCATGGACTCCCATACTCATTAGGCGGACTGAAAAGGCTCCTATCGCCTATTTTCAGCTCTGCCAGATATTTCCAATGTTTTCTTGTTATATCTGCCATAGCTGGGTCCAAAAACTAGAAGTCTAGGGAGGGCAGGTCGAGGATTTTTATACTGGCGGCCTTGGTGGTGTCTGATTCGCTGTTTTTCTTTCTCCCTGAAGACTGATTCTTCAGAGGCTGCACATATGCCAGATAGACCGTTTGAAGGTTATTTATGACTACAAGCTTGTTCGTGCATTAGTTAACGTCTTTCTGAGGTATCTCCTTGATGATCGCAATGCTTCGAACTGCCTCAATGCTTCAAAATCATCGTTTTGTGTCGTTCCTTACTGAACGGCGGTGGACCATGCGTGCCCAATTGGTGGGACATTTTCAGACTCCATTGGGGCCGAGGCCGTCGGTTAAAAGGGACAAATCATGACACCATACAAAATGTCCCAGATTTATCTATCACGTGCATTGCTTTTTTGCACGCGATTTTTCGATTTAGGGACCACCATTGACGTTTACTTTTTAACAGTTAAAAAAAATCACCCTGTATACATGATTTATTTACCGTCCCGAGATGTTATTTTAGTCGATTCAGAGGGTACACAATTTCTAATCGCGAGGAGAGTGGTAACTTTGCATCACATACACGGGACGCTTGACGCTTCACGGGCGGGGTAGTTGCCCACACAACACCAAAAGAAGAGAACTGCCGAGAGAGGCCATCTCCCTAGGCCTACAAGGAACCCAGGTTTGAGTTACAAACAGCGATATGAACAGCGACCGAACATGCAGAGCATCTACAGGGGATGCTGTGGATGCAACTACGAAAACGACTCTATGGTCATTTTAGTTACAGAGGTGATAAAAATGTATCATTTCATGTTTGATAAAAACCCTCCAGCGATGACTTACAAAAAAAGTGGATTATAAGTGTCGTTTTGACGCGTTCTTATCACACACATTTCTGCACCGGGTCGGCCCTGCTGTAGGTTTCACAGATCACCTGCGCCCCCGCCCGATAATGGGCGACGACGGTGCGGCAGCGGCGCCTGCTCCGATCATTACTGGAGCCCGCGGCGCCCGGCAGTCCAATCCACTTCTCCCCGAGGCGGTGGGCGCCTTTGATCTCTCTGGCTGGTGCATCACCCCGTGACCCAGCCCCAGGTCCCGCCACGACGGTCGAGAGACGCGTTCAGCCTTCAGCGCTAACCCGGCATGACTCGGATGGCAACGGAGCACCGTGCAGCGCTGATCACTTGGAAGCCCACGTGTTCCAACTCGGCGAAATTATTCCATCAAAACTTTCATGCATGAATCAATAATGCAGCTGGTGGATACCATCATAAAAACATACGGCACCTAAAAACATCGAAGCCGACTGATTCGCTTTTCCAGCGACTGCAGTTTCCATTTTAAATATCCGTCCTTCCCCAACCGCCACCTTCACGCGGTGGCGGCGGACCGTTTCATTCCGGCCAACTAGCGGCGGATTTATAATCAATCCGCGGCACCGGCCGCCGGCCAGTAATTGGTCTCGCGGCTGGAGCTGTCACACCGAGAACCCTGTCGGATGACAGCCGCAGCGGCGCTCTTCGATCGTACTCTGCGCCGGTGAAGAGCGCTCCGAGCAGAGTTAAGACGAAACGGGGGCACCGCACGCTTACAGGCTGGTAGCGTAGATTGTTTTGAATTTCTTGTTCCTTTTTTGTAGCATTGATTTTAATAACTTGACAATACACAAGGTACGATTCTTAGCCCCCTAAGATCTTACCCTTTTACGGTACGCTCTTCTGCAGGGTCACTGACGATTGTGTTGACCGCCCAATGACCACCGTCCCCCCCCCCAAAAAAAATACACCCCAGGACTTTGCCTGTGCATCACTAGAAACGTCCCTTGGTGCCTCCCTTCCTTTCGCATCAGAGGCAATATCGCCCCTTGCATGAGCGGGTCACTACTAGCTACGCGTTGAATCTGAACATTTTCGATGGAGCCCACGGTCGGACCCGGGGGTGACGAGGCCACGGGAAGACGCCGTCGAGGAGGTGACACATTCGAGTCCATTGCCCCAACCGCTCACCCCCCCCCCCCCCCCGGTCCAGTCTGTTTATAGTCAGCGTCGCCGCCTGGCTATAAACAGGGCCAGCCAACTTCTCCAAACAAGTCCTAACTCGATAAAGAGGCCAAGCGGCCCGTTCAGAGGGCCGGTTGAGGTCAGCGGCGTGTCGCGTCCCGCCCCAGTTTGGACTGGGCACCGCTCGATCGATGGGGCACGGACCCGCCCCGGTGGGCGGTGGGCGGTGGGCGGTGTGAAGTTGGAGGCGGACAGTGGGCGGTGGACCACGCAGTATTCCCCAGAGGATACCCTAAATACACTGTTTACGACCAAGATACGAATCAACTGTCACCACCTAAAAGCCAGTTGCGCAAGGCCTTTGTGTGGAATTTGATGTCTTCCAATATCAGAGAGATCTGCACGAAGCTGTCAACGCTACTGAATTCACGACTGCGGAGTTCTATAGCCCACACTAGCCTCCCCACTCGTAGAAAAGCTCTGAAAGATATCTCTCGATCGTCGCCCGTCTTTCAAAGCTTCTGAGTGTCACTTCAGGCTAACGACGAGCCCGCAAAAACATCGATTTCCCGTGAAGCAAAAACCTTTCCATTTAACGACCAACCATTCTTCAAGCAAGGCTCTCGCACATTGGCGTCAAAACAGCACGGATTTATGGGTTGCGTGGGCTCTCGTGAGGTCATTCGACGGACAAATTACCGGCCGTACGAGAAGGGTTACCTCCAAGATGATCCCCAGGGCTCAATAACGTCACTCGTCAGCTTACGCCGCAGCCTGTCACGAGCTTGCCGGTGACGCTGTTGGAGTTTGAACTGGTCAGAGGCGCCGGGTGGGAGGAGAGGCCCTTATCAACCGTTGCGGTAGTCGTTAGTTGGAACATTGTTTTGCTGATGGGATGGACGAACTCGCAAACAAGCCCTCTCCAAAGGCAAATGCCGCTGCCAGATCCAACGCAGAGTACGTTTCAGATAGATTAGTTCGCCAACGCCAAATGACAGTCGGCTTTGGTCGGCCCGATCGGAGCTACAGCGGCAGTGCTGAAAACACGTCCGCCGGTAAATTTCCGTGCAGATTTCCGGCCAGCATTTAGCCGGCGTTCCAGCCGTCACATTGCGCCCAATTTACATGCACGGCTGCGCGCCGGACGAAACGCCGGCAAACTTCCCCGTGGACACGCCCGGCCCGGACGGACTTTTGCAGCGCATATGGAGTTTTCCCAGGAATCGTCAGATTCCCCGCGGACGAGATGACTGCATCAGGAACAATTGTGTGCTGCACGCTCGCGGCGTTCTGCCGGCCGGAGGTAGCGCCATGCAGAGCGGCTCGCCGAACCCGTGCTCAGTGGAGGCGGCCCGCCATGACGCCCTTCGCAGTCTCATTGGCCCGTCCAGCAATGTCGCTCGGCAACCGTGACGTCACCAGCTGACGCAAGTGGTATGTAATGACGTCATAAACGGAATTCGTCGTAATTTTGGACCCGGCAGCGAGCGCTGCCATTTCAGGAGCTTTCAATTGCAAGGTCACATTGCCATTCTGCATGTTTTGGGGGTCTATGCGGTAGAAGGAACACTCCTGCTAATTCTTCGATGCTGAAATGCGGCAGAAATGTAGCCTAGTGACCTCGGAAAAGAGGCTAGTATATTTTAATTGCACTTAAAACGACGTGCCGTCGTTTCGAGCACGGGCAACCTCATGTGATTTCCTCGAAACACAGCGGCTATATAAGACGTGGCAGTCACAGCGGCTATGTAAGACATGGCAGTCACGACTGAGCGCCGAAACCAGTGTGGCGACATGAAAGGGCCGAGCACTCTGCTGGCATCAGAAAGGTACGGCGAATTATATAAATCCTTCCATCGGCTGCCAGGCATCCTACAGTCCAAACAGGACAACACCAATCAAACATCGGCGATAAGGGACTCAGATTGCATAGCCCCGCCAGGCATAGGCGACCTTGTTTGGAACAGCGGTAGGGCCTGGCGGCACATCAGGCCTCACGTCCGATTTTGATAGGAGTTTCATGTAAATCAGTGGCTAGACGAAATTCAGACGACCGAGGACCATCGCCCACGTAGACACAAGACAGGAACATAGCCATTCAAATGAAACAGCACGTAACAAGCCAGATCGACCCTCCCACTCGCTGTACCCATGAGCGGAAATTCGAAAACGGAA